CTGAGGATGTATGTACCCTGTAGCGAAACACTGAGAATAGCCTGAGTTGTATATATGATATCTCACTTAGAGCTGCAAGGAGGTACCTCCTCCCAATACCTCAGAGCCCTATCCTGAAAACCAGTCCTTTTCTGTCGGGAGCTGGGTCTCATACTGTCAGGCTACAAGGAAGTCTAAGCATCGCAAATGTTCGTTCATCCAAGCTTTAGGCCCTTGCAAGATGGAGTGTCCACTCAACACAGGTCAGAAATCAGGGTAATTTTTGGACTTCAAAGTTCAGAGTGTTCCCTCTTGGAATAAATCATATCCCTATGAACCTCACTTAAGTAAAGCTGTGATAAACGGAGTGCAAAAGATGTAGCTGTACATGGACTTTCATTTTGCTGAGCTACACACAGTTTCAGTGTTTGCTGCACTCAAGTGCTTTGGCTGTGTTTTGAGTATTGCTTTTAACTGCATTATCCTTTTGTTTTACAATTTTACAGGTGATTGATAAGGCAGTTAGTGGTTCTGGCCTGGTAATGAGATGTTTCACTAAGGTGAAATAACCTGGTCCCACAGAAGTAGGCTCAAAAAGTAGTATTTTTCATCCAGGCTTTTCACTGACATGTTTCAGAAAAGGCCTCCTCTGTGTATGCAAAGGAGCTTTGACAACTGGGTTGCACCCTAATTAACAGTTGTAGTCCAGATCCTTAGAAATGTGTCACTGCCTTAAATTTGAAGATAAATATCAAACATTTATTAAATTGTCCTGCAGTTACAGTAGCATAGGCCAGTTCTTGTAGACTCCAGGTAAGCATGGAAGTAGTCAACAGTGCTCACACAGCAGCATGGAGCTCAGAGCCTGCCAGCCACAAAACCAACAAGGCTGGCCTGCACTGAACTTCATGCTGCTACAACAACAGTGACAACCAGCACAGGCTAATTTAACGCACTCCTGACATATCCTGCAAGGAAACGTGCCTGGAGCTCCAGTGGTTTCTGCCTCATTAAACATGTCTAAGCTGTAGGGCCTGGGTGTGCTTCTGTGTTTTAGATTGCTGACCTTGTCATATCCTGATAGCATAAAAGGATAGGACCCAGCTGTCTGCAATGCCTTTCCACCTACATCCTTCTATAGCATGGTTTCCTTGGAAGAAAATCCCAGTGACTAGGAAGGAAAGAAGTGTCTGGTCTAGAGGATATAGGGAGCAGGACAAAAGGATGTATTGAGACCACACTTGCCCCACTAGTTGTTAGGAAACTTGCCATTAACAACCCAAGGGCTATGATAGCAGGAAACCATTTTTCATTCTTTCCTATTCTTAATTACTGTAATTAAGGAATCAAGGCCTGAAGAGCCCATGGTTTAGTCAAAAAGCGCTGTAGGTGGACTGACAGCAGCTCTCCAGTGTCCTGCAGAGTGACTGCACTCCTAGCATGCCTTCCCCATGCTCTGCCGTACACATGGCCTATCAGTCCTTCCTGGACGTTTTCTGCATTGATTGCAAAGGGGAAAAATTTCCATGGCCCTGCCAGTCTTTTTCAAACTCCTTTACAATATGCCAAACCTTCCCTCCCTGGCGGGAGATGAGGAGCCCATCATGAGGAGTAGGATGGATTGGGATAGGTTTTTATGAACTAACTGAATAGATGCGGAAGTGTGATTCTCTTAAAATAAATACATGCTTTTGGCCTCAGTTTCCCTATCTCTAGTGCAACAAATACTGGCCTTGCTGCAGCCATTATTCTCTGCATCTACTGATTGTAATCAGGATGGCACTCTAAAATAAAAAAGCCTGAAATGCTGGCCAGATTTCATCTGTTACGCTCCCAACGGTACTTCTTTTTTTTTCTGAATCCAAGACAGATCAAATAATATTGATGATTATGACTGCAGTTTTAAGAAAATCCATTGGCGAGTCTTATAAAATACAGTTACCCTAATGCTTTATTTGCTGCATTTGGCAAAGTACAGTGTTAGATTAAAAGGTCCTCTATAATAGCATCTTTTCTATTCAAAATGTACTTTCAACTTCATAACTGTGGCTGTTTCTATATCTGTAGAAGATAAAGTAACTAGAATGATCTAGGACATTTTGTTAAAATTTGTCATAAAGTAATAATGTAAAAATAATTCAAAGAAAATGGAGAAATATGTATTGATTCATATTTTAATGTGTTCCCTTTTGTACAGTCTAGGATTTCACAGGCTATAATATTAACTACTTGTAGCCAGTCATTTTTCCGATGCAACAGAAATCATTGTTGTCCACTTTCAGGATAATTCCTGGGAAACATATCAATTAAAAAACTAGAAGTTAAATGTTAACCAGACTACTAAAGTGCATTTTCAGAAGAATCAGACCATGACAAGTCTGCAGGCTGCTAAAGGAAAACTCCAGCTATTAAAACTACAGACCCATGTGTTCCCACACTTTCAGATGATGTAAGAAACTGTAGCCCTGCCCTCCAAATATTTGCACACATTTGCACAATCTGGATAAATGAAGTGAGATCTATTCACAGCAGAAATTTTTGGATGGGAATCCTCATTCAGTAACACATTGAAATAGTTGTGTAATTAAAGGTCTTCTGTTGCGAATCCTGATTTCAGAAGAGCAGTCAGTTACTTGAAGTTGTGTGCAGGCTTAAGTCCTTGCTATATCAAGAACTTTGTGATGTAACATCTCTTCTCATGAGAAGCATGGAAATGGAAATGTTTGGGTAAAGGCTGCCTTTTGTAACGGGAAATACCGCTTCACTAACTGCTCCACATTGCATCTGACACTGATGTGATATTCATCTGATTAAATACATATTTTCTAAATGCTACATGAAGTTAAATTGCCTCATGGCATTGTATAAGGATATTTTCTATGGTTATTTTTTTTAAAGTAGCTCACAAATGAATGAATACACCCTGAAGTGAATAACAAATCTCCAAGTGTTGTGTGCTAGCTACATAAGAGAGACTATTCAAAAGCTGTAAAGGAAATGAGCAGTTTTAGAGCAATGAAACTTAAAATTACTAAGCAGTATAGGGGAAATAGTTACTAAAATTTATAACAGTTATTACTATTAGCCCAACCTCTTTTCTAATCTGCCTCTGTCTATGTAATGATGGCAAAATACAATATGAAAATGTTTGAAACATACTGAAAATATTTCTGATCTTTTTAATATTAAAAAGAATCAGTTAGTTACTCTATCACATACAGTGCCTCCAAAGGGCAAAAACAGGCCGGGGTTGGGGGGGGGAGGAGTAAGGAGAGCAGGGAAAATGAGGCCTTTGTGACCATTCTGAAAACACCAGAGAAAAAGAATGTTTTCTATCTCCTTCTGCAACCATTTATATCCTTCCCCAAAACAGATGAATAGATAAATGGATAAAAGATTCTCAGAGGCCAGAATGCACACCTGTAAATGTAATCAAAGGCTTTCAGAACCCAATTTTAAAAACATAGGGCATGCAAATGTGCGTGTAACTGTTCCCTTTCTTGCATGTATAGTTACTGTGGGTTGGACTTCAATACCTGTACTGATTGACTGGTTGACCCTACAAAGCCAGTTTTTCCCAGCCTGGCTGCTCACTCAAACGTATGCTAAGTCATGGATACAACACAGGAAATTGCGTGGAGAACTAAATATACATTTTTCAGGGCAAAATTAAAGTGAGGCATCACACAGAAAACCTGGGACACTTTCTGACTTAGTCAATACCAACATTTTCTCAGCTAGCTCTCGTCTGGCACGGACGTTGCCAAAAGTGTGGATGGCTGAAGTGCATGTGGATTTCAATCCTATCTCATCTGTAGCAGTTTTGTCAAAACCTGCTTGGATAGCACCATTATTTTGCATGCTAACATTATATTTATATTATGTTCATTTATATTTTTTTATTATTTTGTGATTGATATAGTTTTCTATTAAAATATATTTAAATACTGTTTTGATACAAAGGTAAACTCTCAGAAGACAAGAAATACAAATGTTAGAACTTAATGGTGTTAGGTGCTAGCTGGTGCTACACATTAGTCTTTCATAATACTGTATCATCAGCTGGTCCAAAATATTTACATGCATGTGCTAGGAACAGGGCTCTCAAGTGGCACCTGCTTTAGATTTTATTATCATCTACAGGGTCCTCAAGGTCCTCCTGGTCTTGATGGAGTGGTTGGCCCACCAGGACAGAAGGGAGAAAAGGTAAGTTAAACATCTGTCTTGCTCCTACTTCAGTGGAAAATGATTGTCAATTGTCCCTGCCACACAGTGTTGGCTGGCTTCGATATTTTTTTAATTGAATCCAACTGCTAATGGCTTATTAGAACACATCTCAAAAGGCATCTTCAGAAATCCAGAATTCCCTATTCCAGTCTCATCTTCTGCAGCACACAGTATTCAAAATGCAGTATGAGCTACTCTGTTGTGATTCGCCAGTAAAAAGCCAGTCGTGCCTGGACTCATGCAGGTGAGTCTGTGGGGGGAAAGAAAGAACTCCAGCTAGTCCAGACTGACACAGACTGACAGCATATTCCCTGCAGAAAGTGCACTCTGTGGCATGTGTGTATACCAGGGCAACTGGAATTACTTAAGTTTGGATTTTGTGGACCACTGGCACATCAAGTTTTGTACACTTCTGCAGCAGGCCATTATTTGTCTTAAGTGCTAACTACCGCACTGCTGCTGCCCCCAGCTGTGGTATCCCACCCCCACATTTGTGGCAGTTCCAGCCTTCACTCACCCCTTGATGAGACATTTCAGTATCCTAACCTGGCAGCAAAGGTTTACTTAGTTTTCTGTTGACTTGCTGCACTGATTAGCTTCATGCATGATCAGATGAGCACTATGGCCAGCAAAAAGGGAGGAGTGGACAACATGTAAATGGGATCATAACATCCTGCAGATAGATTTTCTTGTGTTGCCGTGGAGCCAAAAACTACATATTGCAAAATTGCCACTCTTTTTAAGTTTCCCCAAATTACTACATCCGGGTTTTTTGCACCCCACTTCAAGAAGGATGTGGAGAAGACAGAGGCGGTGCAGCGGAGAGCTATGGAGATGGCCAGGGGCCTTGAGTACATGACCAATTAGGAGAGGCTGAAGGAGCTCAAACCATTTAATCTGGCAAAAAGGAGACAAAGGCATGGCCAACAGATACAAAGATACAATTATAACCCTTTATTGAAGGCCAGTGAGTCTGCATTTGAAATACTGAATCCATTTTTTTGCACCCCACTTCAAGAAGGATGTGGAGAAGACAGAGACAAAGACTACAGGAAAATTTCATCCTCTAGTGAGCTTCTACACCATACTTTATGCACAAGAATTTGAAAGTAGATTCCCAAATGTACATTGAAAGCTCACGTACTGTAAGGCAAATGAAAAGGCAAGTCCTAAATGGCCAGAATGTTGATTTTTTTCTTCTTTTTTTTTAAATCACGAGGGATTTTTTTAAATCTCCTCTGGAGACTGAAGGTTCTGAGTTGTGATTTCAAAAGTCCTGAGGTTGGTAAAACTGCAGCACACGTGGGAACTAGCAGCTATCCAGAGAATGCAGTATGTATGTTACAAAGCAGGCATCCGAAACTTATGTCCATTGTAATCAGAGGTATGTGTTTTACGTAAGGCAGCCTAAGAATAGAAAGAAGTCTAGGTGAAGTAAACTGAACCTGAATCACATAATATAGGAAGACAGTGATGTGGAAAGGGATGTAATTGGAAGAAAAAATAAATTTTCAAAAAGGGCATAATCCTCAAAAAAAAAGACAAAACCTCAAATGTTTTGCCTCACTGAGCCTGTTTTCTGCATTGTGTATATTTGATAAAAGTTTAATTAGAAATGAAGCACTACATATTTGCACCTGCTCAATACAATCCCTGGCACCTTAGGATAATAGGATTTTTCCATTTCTACTATTCACTTTTTCTGAAAAGCTTGATTTAATTTATATTGCAATATCTATTTTTAATCATTATTCCCGATTAATCCAGAGAAAATTACAGGGAGAAACTGCGGTATGCACTGAAAGTAAAGTCAATTTGTTCCTTGAAGTGAAATTTGATGTGGTTTTTTGCCATTACTTTTGGAAGAAAACATTGTTATCATTTTACTCCTGGTGCTTACTCATTTTTTTCAGACCTTACTCAAGCAATATTTCTGTTGAATGAGTAAGGACAGAAGCTTGCCAATTTAACAATTAATTCCTTTAGATTCAGTGCAATTTGGAAAAGAAGTATTTGCATGCTGTGACTTTCTGTCTATTCCATGACCTAGCAGTGGAAAAAACAGTATCTAAGTAAAGTATATAAAGGCAAATCAAATAGCTTGATTGCTGCAGAAGAGCCTTAAAATCATACTAGTCATCGTATCCCTTGTTTGGAACGGTGCCCTAGACAACTTGTGTGGGATCAGTTTCCACTTCTGTGATATCCCATGCAAGTTTTGACATTTAAGTTCAGCAGCATGAGGATGTGACCTGCAATGCTTAATTCTCTGTGCTCCAGACCTTCAAAATCTGCAGCAATAATTCAAATACAAGATTGCATCCTGTCTGCGTACCAGACCGGAGCTATTCATTTGTTATTATAACTCCTGAATTACAGATTTTTTTTCTTTTTAACTAAGAGGTCTGATGTTTCATGTAAAGGACATTATGACATTAAATTAAACAACACAGAAATCTGTGGGTATTTTAATTAAGCAAAAATCTCATAAATGTGTTTTTGTTGCCTGTCTAATGCTCTTACTGTAAGTAATTAGGATTGGTTTTCTTTTACAGGGTGATCAAGGTCTTCCTGGTTCCGTTGGTCCAAAGGTAAAAAAAAAGACACCGTCTTTTTTTGCACCCCACTTCACTCTTTATAGGATAATAGTATCACTCTAATACAGCACGTTACAGAAAAGGGCTGAGAAATCCAAGAGATTGTTATTGTGAAACCTAATGAAGTCGGCAAACTTGGCTTCTCAGTTGGCCAAAGTACTTCTCTAAGAAGCGTGGCCAGCAGGTCAAGGTAGGTGATTCTTTGCTCTACTCGGCTCTCATGAGACCCCACCTGGAGTACTGTGTTCAGCTCTGGGGCTCCCAGCATAGGAAAGACATGGACCTGCTTGAGCAGGTCCGGAGGAGGGCCATGATGATGGAAAATGATCAGGGGGTTGCCCCCTCCCTGGAAATGTTCAAGGCCAGGCTAGATGGGCTTTGAGCAACCTGATCTAGTGGAAGGTATCCCTGCCCATGGCAGGGGGGTTGGAACTAGATGATAACTTTAAGGTCCCTTCCAACCCAAACCATTCTATGATTCTACTTACTTGCATCTACTTATGCATGTTCACTATACCAATAGACTGACCTTATATTTTAGGGTGATACTGGAGTCCCTGGATCAATAGGTCCCAAAGGAGAAGCTGGTGCTGTTGGGTCTCCTGGGAAACCTGGACCGCCAGGACCTCCTGGGCCCCCTGGGCCCCCTGGACCCCCAGGACAAAGCTACAGTTTGGGATTTGAGGTATTTTGCTATTATGGGGTTTGTTGTAGCTATGGATCTACTTTCTTCAGAGGAGGGACAGTGTAATCACCTGTATATTTCACAGCTATTTTAGCCTGAATTGATGACAGACAGAGTCATTTGCTCTAGAATGAAATTTGCCTAGGAGTAGCCTACAATTCCTTTTACATTTGACCATATAACTGACCATGCTTAGACCATGGAAGTAATGGATTTCTTTGGGCAATTTTCATGAAACTATTCCGTAGTAACAGTGTTCAGATGTTATTTTTGGTGCTTATATCATTGCTAATATAAAATACTCAAATACTATACTACAAGGGAAAACTTCTTTAGCACTCTTTTTTTCATGTAAATAATTTAGAGCAATGATCTAAATATACATAGAGACCTGACAGTATTCATTAAAATCGAACTGCAGGTCCCCCTTAAGCAATGACTTTTCCTATGCTGTCATTCTTGAGGCCACAAGTTTAGTTTAGGCATGTCACTTATGTAACGTGTAAATACAGAGACAGATGTTGGACATTTCTGACCTTATGATCTGTTCTACTTAGAAGAAAAATGTTCTATTAAAAAAAAAAAAATTGCAGATGCTACTCTTTCTACTTCTGAAAATAATACCTTCATCACTTTAAAATATGAGATCAGGCCAGCTCAAGCTGAGTTTTACATGTCATTTGAGAACTGCTCATTTAGATGATCTTTTTAGAGCAGAAAGTGGCTTTGCAGTACAGAAGGGCAAAGGGAACACACTCAGGTTCAAGAACTAGAGCTGCTGCATTAACACCTTTGTGAAGAGAGGTTGACAAATGGCCTACATCAATATTCACATATGAGTCTTCCCTTTTTTTCTTTTTCCACGCATTTTTCATTTCTAATTTAGCTGTTTGGCTCAGGAAAGTCTTTCCAGAGTTTTCATTTTTTATGTCATGGGATATAATACAAGTTTGTATAGAAACTGAGGGCAGTTTCATCAGAGAAGTAAGGAATGTTTGACCAAAACTACTGTCCATCTGTAGAACTGCTGCAGTAAAGTGGTGGTGTTTACTGTAAGATAAGTAAAGATATGTTTACTCACACATTTCTCCTAGTATCTACACTACTGTATTTCCCTTTTCTTTACTCTAGAGACACTTTGAGTACTTCAGGTACAGAGGTGACCACTAATGCTTGTTTAGAGAGATATTCTGATTTCTGATGTCTGACTGAATAATATTGTGGTATATACACTACTGGTTAATAATCTCACTGATGTCCATGGATTTCAATGGACAAAAAAATCTCTCCAGCAGTTCACAAGTTCTTAACTGCCAGCACTGCAATTGTTAGCAGTGAACAGCATAAAGTCTAAGCGTACAAACACTCCATAGCATTAACTTCGGCACACTATAAAGGCTGGTACAGAGTGTCCCCTGAATAAATATGTAGTTGTCTCAGAATGAGATAAGGACTACTGGTAAGCCACATCTTCATCCTAGGCCTGCTCTGAGTTTTAGCCCAGGATGATGGCTTCTCTGACTTACAGTCATCTGTGACCCTTGAGGATCCAGTGTTAAGAGATTCTCTCACTCTTCCCCATTCACACTACTTGAGTAGAAGCCAACTTTGCCTCATTATGCCACCAAAGAATTCCCCTGCAGGTAGGTACTTAGGACCAAACTCTGCCACTTCTGATACCTAAGGCTCAGAGGAGCAAAGTTAGTAGATGAGTAGGAAGGAGTGAAAACTGTAAGTTCCCACTTTTATGGACACAAACACAGAAGCATCCCAGCTCTAACTGCAGCAACAATATCTTGACTGGCTTCATCTTGAACTCCATCTAGTCCAAACAGAATTGGCATGATTGTCATGTCCCTGAGAGGAATACTGCTGTTAACAGGCGTGCTAGTTCTAGCTGATCTTTTGGATGCCCACCCCTGCCATCTGTTAAGGCAGCACCATGGTGTGCCAGTTCGTTAGGGCAACACTACCTTTTGGATGGCAGTCTGTTTATTGCTGTAAGGCTGTTTCTGCAAAACATTCCTGTTAGCACTTGTTAGCATCTGTGATCAGCTATGTGCAAAAACCAAATGGCATGGGGTTTGCTGGCACTTATGCTTGCCAAAAGAACAGTTTGAGCTGCAGAAGGTACCTGCTAAATCCATTAAAAACATGCAGATGTCAAAAGCGATGGTGTGTTATATAAAGCAGGCATCAAGCACTCTCTTAAAGGGAAAAATTGGCACAGTGGAGGCAAGGGAAAGAAGGACCCAGAAACACAGCTTGTGGTTTACCCTAAGTAGCAAGTGTTTGGTTAAACAGGCCAAACAGAATATCTGCAGATTTTCTGTTGATATTTGATACACTGATAGCTGATGGAGGAGCAAAATGAAAGTCTGAATAACATTCAGTCTCAGGTGAAGTTGCATGAAAGGACTTGAGCCAACCTGATGACTCGATGTCTCCCACCTTGGTCCCCAAAAGGAAGGACCTGATTCCAGCTGTGCACTCCTTCTGCTTCTCTTGTTCTTGGTCTCGTGGAGTTGGTGGAAAAGGGCAAAAGAACAAGATTTCTCTTTTTCACTGGAGTCAGATCAGTTGATGTTTTCCATAAGGTCGCCATTAGGCTGTCATTCCATAGCAGCTTAAGCTGATCTAATTGGTCTTCCACCCTTCCCCTTACACCATCTCCAGAGTGCGTCAGACCTATGGTAGTCTGAGCCATTTCAATTCACTAACTAGCAGAAAGCTAAGTAGGCAAGGAGTATGTGTCCTGTAAACATGATAAGCTGATACAAGGGCTCTTTGTCACTATGAGGTGGAGATTCTGTTTTGCTCCTGCTCCTCCTCCCATCTGCAGCCATTCCTGGCACATGCCTGCCCTTCACATGCACTAACATCCAGTGTCCATCAATCCTTCCACAAGCCAATTTAATTTACTAAAATTTTAGAGAACCATCCCACCCCCAAAAAATAACATATTTTCTGCCATTTTGGTGATTTAAAGTGGCTCACAGGTGAGTGAGAGAATTAAACAGATGGCACTGATGTTGAAAATGAAGGTTGTATGACTGTGAGCAGGGAAGTGGCGTGAAGAAAGATCAAGATTTTCCCTTTTCAGAAAAAGGAAACAATTAAGCCAGCACAGCTGTATTTAAAACTGCAGCTAAAAGGAAGTGAACAGTTTCCTGCTGGCATGGTTCATCCAGATGGTTTGAAGCACAGCCTGACAAGGTCTAGGCATAAGGCACAGGATAGGAACATGTGGCTGGGATGGTGCTGGGGGTGAAACAGATAATTATGGTGGCCTGCAATTTTATTTCTTTGGCTGCTTTGGAACTGGCAGCTCCTGGTTCTGCCACGGATTTGGAATGTCGCAGAATGATGAGAGCTGGAGGGAGGTTGCTGCTTTCTCTATAGTCTCCTTTAAAACCCCTAGAAAATCTCCACAGGAAATATGGATGCTTCTTTCAAGGTCTTCCACTTCACAGAGATCTTTCTGAAGTCAGCAGAGGGCCACAACAATGATCAGTGGACTGAAGCACATGGCCTATGAGGAAAGACTCAAGGAACTGAGCTTGCTTAGTCTGGAGAAGGCTTAAGCATTTTAGCAGCCTTCTGATACCTAAAAGGAGGTTGTTGAGAAGACACACGGCCAGGACCTTTACAGTGGTGCACAGAGTGATGAACAACAACAATCATAAATTGAAACGGGAGGTTCAGACTTGGTATAAGTAAAATATTTTTCACCTTGATGACAGACAAACATCGGAACAGGTGCTTGGAGAGGCTGCAGAACCTCCATCTCTGGGGGGTTCCAAGACCTGAGGGGACAAAGCCCTGAGCAACCTGATTTGAATTCAGTGTTGACGCTGCTTTCAACAGGAGGTTGGACTCGGTAGCCTCTGAGATCCTTCCCAACATAATTAATTCTACAGTTTTATGATAGAACATTTTTTTTCTGCTCAATTTCATTTCAGTAAGCTGTATTTTAGGCAGGAGTTCAACATTCAACTGTGAGAATTAGGAAAGACCTTTATTTTTTAATAGTGATTGCTGCTGTTAACAAACTGCCTGCAAGTTCTCCCTGCCTTAAATCAGTTATGTAACCCTTACTAGTCATTACAATATTTCAGTAGCCAGGTGGCAGGTAAATACTAAACAGAAAAATACTGCTGCAGCATGCTTAAACATTGCACATACTTAAAACTGTGATGCTGTCTCACTTCTGCCTTATGCTGTCCAGCCTGAAGTGCTGAAGAAATGGTGTCAAATTGGCAAGACTGTAAAGACCAGAGCTTCTGTAAGGAAGATCAACATGCCCTTACCACATTTGAGTGGAGTTCATCTCCAGAGCATTGTGCGTGGGTCAAAAAAAGGTTAATAAGAAAAGATAAAAATATTTCTGTTCAGTATCTTTCCTGTTTTTTACAGGACTCCAGAAAACAGAGCAGTTAAAAAAAAAAAAATTCTTAAATTCTGTAGCATTTTTTTCTCTTCCATTAGGACATGGAAGGGTCAGGTAGCATTGGCCTGTTAAGTGAATCCAGAATTCCAGGATCAAGAGGGCCAAAGGTAAGTGGATGTTTCAGGGGAGGGGAGTGTTGTTTATTGTTGGTTTTGTTTTTTTTTTTCCAAAAACAAGTGTCCTCCTCTCTGCTTTTTGGAAACACGTAGCCCCAGTCAGCTATAGATTTGGAGTCACTGGACTGCACTGGATTCAGTTGCTCTAGAATGGCATTACAATAACTGTGTCCTCCAAAGAATCTGAATGGTATTTCTCTGATACCCGGTTAGCTGATGATTTTTAGATTCTGCTCTTGTATATTTTTGAGAGATTAAAGGATGAAGTAGGGTTTTTTGCATCATCTAGCTCTCTATTTCTTGTCTTACCCTAATAGATGCCCTTCTTGCATATGAAGATGAATTACATATACTAATGAAACTGAAATGTTGTAGTTTGACAATCAAATGTGCATAATCTGAAATACCACTTAAACTAAAAAAATGTTCCCAGTAATGTGGAAGCAATGTCCCAGAAGAAGGGATGGTTTTTCCTCCATCATCATGTCTCAGGAGATTTTTGCTAGCGTGGGCCGCTTTAAAACACCAAGTAGGGAATATGGGAATACAATGCATCAGTATTTACCAGATCATTTGGATTTATCTTTATTCTTAGCAATAACATCAAAACTGCAGCCTATGGTACCTTCCCCAAAGCAGGCAATTATCCAGCATTCCTCCCCCAGAGCTGCCTACATTGTTCTAGTTTGGTCTTCAGAAGTCTTGCCCCTGTGCTCACTCCAAAAGAAACATTCAAACTTTCAAAGCATAGCTTTGAAAGAATGAGTCTTTTTGCCCAAGTTTGGAGAAAGTGCTGATGATGATGACCTTGGATTATGGTAGATGCCAGATTGAATACTAGGCAACGGCGCGCTATCGCTGCAAATAAGGCAAATAAGAAATATTCTGGAATACATCAGAAAGAGCATTGTCAACAGATACAGAGTTGTTATTATTATAGCCCTTTACTCAGGGCTAGTGAGGCTGCATTGAAATACTGAATCTGGTTTTTTTGTACCCCACTTCAAGAAGGATGTGGAGAAGACAGAGACAGTCCAGCAGAGAGCTGTACAGATGGCATGGGGCCTTGAGTACATGACCAGTGAGGAGAGGCTGAAGGAGCTCAAATGGTTTAGTCTGGCAAAAAGGAGACAAAGGCATGATCTAGTAGCTGGTTACAAGTCTTTGAGAGACAATTGCAAATATGATGAAGCCAAACTGTTCCTCGTAGTTCCAGATGGTGCAACAAGGGACCATCACAATGAGGTCACAATTTGCAGCTTGAGATGTTCAGGCCAAACCTTAGGAGAAACCTGTTCACTAGGAGGTTGGTGCAGAACTGGGGCAGTTTGCCCAAGGAGGTTGTAGAAGCTCTGTTCTTGGAAGTTTTCAAGACTTTGCTGGACAGAGCCATGACTGACCTGATCTAGAGCTGGTGATGGTTGTACTTCAAGGGGGTGACTGGATTAGATGGCCTCCAGAGGCCCTGTACAATCCTGTTACTATGATTCCATGAATCATCAGAAATGAACTGAACACTGGAGGTAGGAGCGAGTTTGAGAAGCAATTTACTGTGCAGGTTTAAAGTACTAGTAATTGTGACTCACTGAAGTTATAGCTGACTCAGTTTAGTATCTTAGAGACCTCTGCCTCCTCTTATATCTTTTCCTAGATACTAAAAAAGTGGCACAAAAAATACAGTTACAAAAATAAGAATAGAATTCATCAGCTGAAACAAGCTAGCATCCAAAATGAGATGTCCAAAACTACCAAAATTGCCGAGTCTGACCTGCCTAAACGACAGCCTTACTCTCAGTTTTGGTTTTATAACAGGCATTGTTTCCAAGTCACTCAGCTATAAATACTGAAAAAATATCTTATTGCAGCTGAACAAAATCCTGGAATTCTGTTTTCTTGTTACTGCTTAGTCACTCCACAAAGTTTGAGTCAGTAAACAAGGCACATAAGAACTTTCCTGTAATCATGAAAATGATTATACATACTTACTGGTACTGCATGAAAGCATTATGAGCCACTTACACCCTATGACAACTCCAGAGGTTCCTGATTGTGTTTGAGTGAAAATAGAGTATCTGCTTCTAAGAGCGCTGTAACTCAAAGCAGCTGCTAGGAAATAAATTACATTTATTTGCTTTGTATTTTTATCTGTTGAATTTTTTATTAATCTTTTATGAGAAAGTAGTGGTTATGTTTTGAAGTAGAAGCACCAAATTTATTTTGTCTGTAGGCTCAGCTATCATTTCCAAGGTTTCTATTCTTTTTCTTCCACAGATCATTGTAAAGTTTTGTTGGTGTTTGATTTATTACTGTCTTGTCTTCATATTCCAGATGAAGACAACTCAATCACTTTGTTGAATTCTTTTTTTTCCATTCAACTTTCTAAAATGATCAATAATGAACTGTTGTTTATTTTACCATCAGTCATAACTGTACTTTACAACTGATGTCACCATATAGAGACAAGAGAGGCATTTGCACCCCGAAATGTTTGTTGCAAGCTACTTTTAAACCTAGCAAGACAATGCCGTGTTGCCTCTAAACTGGTAACATATCTTAATTTTAGCCAAGGAGGCAAATTCAAAAAATTGTAAGCAATTTAAAGCAATCCCTTGCAACAAATGCACTTGGATAACTTTATTTCTAATATTTTCTAAAATATGTATAGTATGCAGTGACAAGATTAAAGTTGTCTTTGCAAGAAAAAAATCTTTAGATCTTTGCATGATAATATAGAGCAAGGCAGTATTTATTAGAACAACGAATCTAAAACAATGCTTACATTTTATTACTCTCTGTTGATACTACTGGTGTCCAACATTGTTTTTGTAACAGTTGTGGTTATGAATTAGGGTTTTTGTGAGAAAATTTGTTATGAAATGTTACATGGATTTACCAGTAAATTCAGCGTAATTTTATAGGGTTCTGCAGGAAGACATGGACAGCGTGGGCCATTAGGACCAAAGTTACCCTATGTAACAAGGAACATTTGAAAGCTAACCTATTTTGCTTTGGCACATATTTTTTATTTCTATATTCCCAGCATTTGCCTTAACAAAACAGCTTTTGTTTAATATTCGTATACTAAGTATGGGACAAATTTTGTTCCCATTTACACTGGGTATCCACCCAGAATGTGTATTAATTAGAATTATTTCACATCCATGGCAGAACAGTGAGTATATACCAGCTGGGCTGTTACATTCCAAGGCATTTGGTGTAACATGGCATTTTTGTTTAATTTCTTTAGGACATTTGGCAGTTTCTCTTTGTCACTCATTTATACATCATTCTGATTTCCAAGAGGTTAGATGTATGCTGTTGAAAGAGAAACCTGCAGGAAGAGACCTTCTGGCATGATCCCAGAAAGTGATAGGAAAACATTCTGGAAGGTGCTGGGGGGAAGAAGGGAGGTGTCGTGACTACTTTGCCTTGGTTTCGATTTGAGCTCAGTAGTGACTGAATTTTTCCACTTTGATGCTGCTATTGGTTAAGTAACCCATGAGGAAAAAATGGAGAGATGAAACACCAGAGAAAAAAAGGGCAGATTCACAGAGTGGGGCCTTAGACAGGAAGAAGCTTTTTCTATTCCTGTGTAAAGCTCGAGTACCACACAGGTTAATAGTACAGCATGACCACACCTTTTCAGCACCTTAAATGTGGAGTTAAAGAAATTTGAAGTCTTCATTGCCCAGAAATGACAGCAACATTGAGTGAGCAGGAAATGGAAAACAATAGATGGGGGCCCCCATCCTCTCTTCCTAAAATTTACACCTGAACACACACAGCACAGGTCACTGACTACCCAGAAAACACATTGCCAGCGGTAACGGCATGCATCTGTTTCATAGAACAACAGCAATCAAAGATCTAGCCATTACCCTATGTCTAGAGTCTATCAAGCTCAGCTTATAAGGCTTAAAAAAGTCCCTCCATTGGGTACTACTCCTGTTAATGCCGGAGGACAACATTACTTATGAGTGAAAAAATAAAGTATTTGCACAGTACATGTTAGTGAATGATACTGCAAAGGACTGGCTAGAATAGACGTGCTCTCACATGATGCTGCTCTATGGACACGAATAGGTGCCGAGTCTCCATGTTGAAAATACATTTTTTGTTAAGAACTTATTCTCTGCCCTTAACTAGACATTTTCTTTCTAAAATATTGTGGAAATACTGTTTCACAAAGACTTCAGAAATTGAGGTAGCATGATTCCTAGGATTTAGGAGCTGGACTGGGACTGAAAAGATAGTCATAAACCTTGGCCAAGGGACTTCACCACCACCTACACTAAGATTTTAGTTGTTTAATCTTGAGTCATTCATCCCCAAGATCATGGAGACACAGAAAGGAACATACTATTGCCTCACATCTTACAAAATCAGGTACACTACAGCAAAATTAATATAAAGTGGTTATAATACACAATCATTCTCATGGGGATGAATTTTACACCCACTTTTTTATAAATGACTTCACTAGGCAACAGTGGCAAAATACAACCACCACCCACTTCCAAAAACCAAGAGCTAACGCATCATGAGGAGTTTAAGGTATAGTTATGCTTCATACATCCTTCATCCTTCAAATAGCCCAGACTAGTAGAGCTGTCAGAGAAGGCCTGCTGTGATCAAAGTTTTCTCTCTTTCCTAGCAAGTAAGTATAGATCCAAATTCTGCTTTCACTTTTATTATTATGAAAAACTGTTTTCATTTAAAAACAGTCTACAGTCTTCATGCATTCATGAATATAAGCACTCCTAAAAGACAGTCAGCATAAACATAACATTTGAGACAATGGCTGTAGCTCCTTGCTGATTTATTCCTGTTTATATTCTCTATCTCAAATGAAATAAACTAAATTGCATGTTCTCTGTCTGTAATGAAATCAAGGAATCATGTCTACTCAGAGCTAGAGTAGTGCAGAATCAGTCCCAAATGTGGAACAGTGCAGCGCTCATTACATTACTCGTGGTATGATGCAGTGACTGGGTAGATGGGGAGAGCAGTAGTGTGGGGGAGGCTGTTAATTGTGTTGAAGGAAGATGGTGGGTCATTTGTGCAGGCACAAAGTCATTCTAGCATCGGTAGATCTAGGCAATGTCACCATGTGCTGATTTCAGACACTAAAATGAAGGTTCAGGCATGTGGCTTGGTAGATGCTCAGCAAAAATAATGTGTGGTGACCAGAAATTCTAAGATGTGGGTGGCAACTGGGAGGCTAAACCCCCAGAACTAATTCACAAATGTATGCTGAGCATCACTGTACCAAAAATGTCCTATTTTTGCTAATCATTTTACTCCATTCAGTCCCTTTGTTTGTAAGGAAAGTAACATACATGTTTAAAATCTTTGTAATTACTGTTCACTTTGATATTTGAGCCCTACTGTGTCTCTGTTTCAGGGAGAAAGAGGCAAGATTGGTCCACCAGGTTCAAAGGTGAGAAATTCATTTAACTTGATCTAAAACCTCAGTGATTTCTTCCTCTTAGTTTCCCTTCTCCTCTTAATGCACTCAGGGGATAACGAACATTTCTTGCTCTGTCAGCATATTAAAGCCCAGGGAGGCTTCTCTGGAAAAACGGAACGCTTTCTCGGTTGAATTGTGATTATCAGGAGTCAGTGTAACCTGTTGCTTAAGACTTCTGTTTAAAGTATTGTTAAAATTGCATTTAAAATCCTCAGGAGCATGATGCCATGGTGTTTTGTGAGGCCGTTTTCACCAGAACAAAAACGAAAATCAGCAAAGCTCATATAAAAAAATAAGTTCCACATGCCCTCCTACTCCTTAATATCATGGTGTGTAGCTAGCACCCCACACCAGAGCACTCCCCCCATGGCACGTCTGTGGTATAGTAGTAGAATCATGCCATGTTGTGCATGCATGACCATGCACAACCATGCATGACCAATCAAGCCATGCATGACCCCAATCCGGAGTTCAGCACAGAGGCCACTTGCCTATTTCTGTGCTAGAACCTACCCATCATCCTGCAGCCAGGCTCCTCCTAACCCAAACCTGACCACTGAGGAGGTATGAGGTTATAGAAATGGTGGTTGGAATGACCTCCAGAGGTCACCTAGTCCAAGATCACACTCAAAGTGGTATTATCACCAACACTAGATCACATCAGCAATGGATTTGTCTCCACTGAGCCTTAAATACTTCCAGGAAGGTTCCAAAAACTCTGTGGGTATCTTGTTCTGGTGCTTCACTATCATCTTTGGAAAGACAGTTTCCCTAACGTGCAGCCCGTACCTCCCAAGCTGTAATTTGTCCCAGCTGTCTAACTCACCCCATGCACCAGTGTGCAACCTAGACCTGCTGCTCTGGATCAGCGCAGCTTCTAGACATGAGACCCCATTGGCAGGGAAACCTGCCAGATTACAGCGCTTTACACGGTGTTAGTACTGAAATGAATGGAGCTGGAGTCCATTCTTTCCTCTCCAACCTTTCCTGTCATTATTCCTGTCTATTCTGGTTAGGACTCCTCTTGGAGCTCACCCCAGAGCTTCTGTTTGTATCTGTGCTGCTTTTTGCCGGTCCCTGGCTGACTTGCGTGCCTTTTGCAGGCATAAGCCAGCAGAGGGCGATGCTGGGACTCATAGAAAATTAAAATACACTTAAATTTAAAATAAAATAAAATAAAATAAACCAAACCAAAACAAACCAAAAGCTTCTCTTGCATTTGGGACAGCACTGAAATCAAGAGTTGCTCTAGGAAACAAGATAAAAGCAATTATGGATCTACCCTTCTGCTTGCTGAATATTTACAAGAGTGTTATCACAGTCTTCTAGCAGCATCTGCTTGTTTATTTTTAAAAAACAACAATGTAGCAGGACTCTGCTTGCCATAAATTCCATCTGCTGTACATATTTGGAGTGTTGCTATTTCACAGATATTTGTCAGCATGATAATTAAAGCTGGTGCATTGATGCATAGGACAGTTGTTTAACTCTTCTTTTTAATCTGTTTGAGACTATAGATTATTTTCTTAATTATACATACAAGTGCTTTGTTCTGTGGTCCTTGTTCTAGTAATTATTACTGTTGTTGTGATAGACACATTTCAAACACATGTATATATTTTAAGTGGAGTGACTACAGTGCGATTTAAAAATAATCAATCTATCTCTTCAGTCCTCAGATTAAAAAAGGTCTTAGTTTGCTTATATTTGATCAATGAGCTACATTCTTAAAATATGGAGGGAATTAGAAATAAGGATGTCTCTGGATACATTATTTACAGAAAACATCTTACCTATCCTGGATCTTCTCTTCAAATTAAATTTCATTAGGAAAATCAATTGGTGAAATTATTCAGCATATGTAATAGCAGGAAGCTGATCTGCAGGTACCAACATGCCTGAAATGACAGCATTCTGTTGCAGAATGCTGTTGGTCCAAGGTTATTTCCTCTGCCCAATTACCTTTGCTGCAGATAGATACATGTAATTTTCTACAGGCACTGAAGTCCCAAGTATGATTTTTACTAGTTATGTAGGTGCCTAAATCCCAGAAGTTGCTTAGATGCCTAAATTCCATTAGCATTCGGAGACACCTTTTATCCTGCACTTGTCTATGAAATGAAAATTAGAGCGCTTCAGAAATTATACTTTATCTTAATAAACTGCATGTTTATTCCTGAGTCATATGCTTTGCTGATCGCAGACAAAAAATAGAAATAACAGTGAGAATATCCCTTCTTAATGAAGTGGACACATTAAATCTTTTATGCTGGTGGTTCAGTAGAAAGGCATAAGAAGAGAGAGGATTTTGCATCCTATGAACTGTTAATTTGAATTTCTTCTATCACACCAGAAATGCAGCAGAAAAGACCGTTTGACTTTGGATGCTTTGAAACTGTTGTTCTTTAAGACGCTCCTGTAGAGTATTAGATAATTCTCAGTGGTTTTATTGGGTCACATCCATCCATCCATCCATCCCAGTATCCTGTCTCCAGCAATGTCAAAAGCATATGCAGTTTGAGCAGATGCTCAGATGCAGTTTGACCTTATAAAAGGGCAACTATTACATCACAGTTCTGAGTGACCTCCTAGACCCCAACAATTTGTGACTCAAGGACTTTCTCAGCTAGAAATGGTGCCTGAACCACAATCAGATCTCTTCAAGTGAACTTAATGTCTCCCCTGGAACTCATGCAAACTTCTACAATTTACAAGACCTTGGGGCAAGGTGCTCTGCCAACTTAACTACACATCCCACGAACCTCTTCCAGCTATTTTCAATTGATGCCCACTATTTCTTCTATTAGAAGTGTGAGTCCTTAACTACTCTCTACTTTTAGAATCCTCTACAATATTCGTCACCCATCTCCTCATTTGCTTCTTTTCCAAGCTAAAGAGTCATAGCTTACACCATCATATCTCACATAGAAGCCATTCTGTACCTTCCTTATTCCCATTGGCCTTTTCTGAAGTATTTCTAGTTCCATTAGATGCTTTTCAAGATGGAAAATATGAACAAACCAGTGCACAGAATTCAAGTTATTGGCATACGATAAGTATATACAGTGGTATAGTAATGTTCTGTGCTCTCGTTTTCCTATCCCTTTTATAATAATTTCCTGTATTCAGTTTATCTTTTTGAGAGCTACTGAGCTGACCATTTAATGGAATTGTCTATTTCTACTAGATTTTCATGGTACTATCTACTGTAAAAGCCCCAAAATATTTTCTTGAAGCAGAACAAAATGTAAGAACCAAAACAGCCTTTTCCTAAAAAAACCCCAAAACACTCCCCCCCAAAAAAAACAAAAAACCAAACCAAAGCAAACCAAACCAAATCAAAAAACACCAAAAAAATTCCACCAACCAAACAAGCAAACAAACAAAAAAAAATAGCCCCACTACTAAAACAAAACAGGGCTAATCTGTCACTTGGATGAATCATTAGGCTGTTCTGTGTCATTTCCTTTGCTCTTTCATACGACACAGAGGAAAACAGATGCAAAAAATGTAGTTCACTGTTTATCTGGTCCATTAAGAATTCAGAGTCTTCTTTTATCCATTTTTCTCTGGGCCAACTGCATTATCATTACTGAGTGATACTTCTGTTTTTCCCATAGAATAGAGTAACTGATCAGATTCTTAGCAGTAATATGCAGACCTGCATTAAACTAGAGCAGGGGCTATCAAACTTTTCACCCCACGTACCAACTCCCGTCTACATTCCACGCCTCTCCCTCCTCTTCCTCCAGCCTGAGAGTTACTTAACTGAAAGGTAGAAATAACCCATTAAATGTATCTTGGGGAAAGCAACAGAATTCACCCTTTTGCTAAGTGGAGGTGGGAGCACTGGAGAAGAATGATTGAAGCTGCATTAAAAAAATCTGCTCTGGAGAGGGGAAAACAGCAGGAGGAGTGGAGAGAGCAGATGACTAATGAGATGATATTGACTCCACGGAGCCTCCCACAAACCTGCCCCCTAGTCCATTCAGAACCATACAGTGTCCCTCCCAAGAGTGATAGCCTCCTGCTTGTATGAAACTGAATACAATTAGAGAGAATAACTATATTTGTTGTGGCAGGGAATGCCGGGTACAGATGGAAAACCAGGCTTTCCTGGCATTGCTGGACATCCTGGAGATGTGGTGAGTAGGGCTATCATAATCTGTGATCACCTAACACACACTGGCTCCCAAACCTATGTCTTAAGGATCAGCAGGAGCCCTAACAGTACTTGCTAGCAGCATGTGGAGAGCTGGGCCTGGGTTTGTCCTGCTTAACCTGGAGCAGTTACTTCAGACATCAAACACAGGAGCAGAGTGTCCCTTGCCCTTGCCTCCCTCATCAGTCAGAAGTGATACAGGCATCTCCAGAGGCTAGTTCCGATTCTTCAATGCTCCTTTTGCTTTTAATTATTCAGAAATGAGCTGTGCTTTTAATTAGAGGGAAGCCAACAGGCTCATAGGTGATATTAATGTATTTCTCATGTTTAAGAGCCACGAGGATTACAGAGCTTTTTAGCTGGGAATTCCCACGGCTCATCCCCTGCCACCTTCCTCTCACTCGTGCCAGACGAGCTGTCTGTGTCCCCAATACAGTGAATTGTATCGAGGGGCTGATCAAGCTTAGAAATAACCTGCCTGAAAAATGACTGTTTAGCTCACCTGTGTTCCCCTGCCCGGTCCACTGGGCAATCCCAGACACAACTGAGGTGGTTAATACTGAAAAAGGAAGGATCAGCCAGGCATGGCTGATTTCAGTGCAGTGAAAGAAAGGCGTGTTGAATTAATCCCCAACTAATGAAATGTTGTGTGCCCATTTGCTTCTGGTCATCTGTAAACTCTGTCAAACATGCTGGGAAAGACTTTTAAACACCAAATCCTCGAAAAGGTCTGAGTTGAAACCAGCTGGCCCCATCTGTGGTTTGAGAGAGCTGGGGATCGATCATTCTGTACCTGCATTTTACTGTTGTGCTTTTTGTGAAGCTAGAGAAAGCACATTATCACGTTTTTTCCTTTTAAATCACTTACGCTCTTTTTTTTATCACATGCAGGGTCCAAAAGGGGAGAAGGGTGACCCAGGACGTCAGGTGAGATTGTGTGGATTTCATTCTTTCTGAGAAACCTGTGTGAAATGTAGTGCGTAGTAAATGGGTTTTCCACCTGCAATGCTTTTGAAATAGGGTGAACCAGGACAGGATGGGAACAGTATTGTGGGACCGCCTGGGCCACCAGGACCACCAGGACCAATCATAGCAATACCTGAGGTAAGCGTGTTTCTCAAGCACTAAGTTCTCTGTAACTCATCTTAAAGAGAAGAGGGCACAAGCGGTTAACAAACTAGCAATTCTGCTGTTGATGTTCAGGTCATAAGTCTACTCCTCAAAACAAAAAAAATCTCAGTATGTCTCTATATCAAATGGATTTGTTTTGAAAAGATGAAATAGGAAGGAAAGTGGTTGAAGAGCTTACATACAAGAATGATGGGGTCATATTGAAAGCTTCTCATAAACTCTCCAGGTGATTCTGCAGGAGTTGTAAACATCAGATAAAAGCCAACAGAGAAATACAAAACTGGGAATGTTTAATAAAGCAAGGCACCTGAGAGACAGCAGTATGTAGGAGAGAGATACGTTGTGTTTTCTGACAGATGGTGTCCACTATACAAACCAGAGCCCTGGCTCTGTTGTGGAAGCAACAGCCAAAAGTACCAAAGGGTAAAATGCTAGAAGCTTATTAAAACAGTCCAATATCCTTTAGCTGCATGTATATTTTCAGTCAGTTTTCCTTTGTGTACATTAGCCTTTGCAAAAACAATAGTAGTTAGCAGCAACGAAGGCTAGAGATCCCATTTCAAAGTGACAACAAAAATCCTTGTAGTTGGCTTGATATGACATTAAGATCTGGAGAAGCTGTGAGTGGCTGCAGGAAATTCTTCACCTCTGAGAGCTGAAGGTGCCTAAAACAGCCAGACTCATCCATAGGAATTCATATAATGTCAGTAAGAAGTGATTTGTGATTGCAAGAAAGGAAGATGCCCACCTGAGAAATCTGTGTTAGGCTGAACCATTATCACAAAGCTGAGCTACACATAACATTTTTTGTTGACTGAAACAACTAGGCTTTCACTTAGGCTTCTGCTACTGATAGCAAATACAGCATAAATTGGCATCCCATGGCCTACATAACCAATCCCAAAAGAGTTGGGTTTTTTTACTGAATTTACTGGGTATCCACCCAGAATCTTAGGATCCAAGATCGTCCTAAAATCTTGGATGAGCAGATTATAGATTCACAGAAATATTGGTTGGAAGGGGTGTCTGAAGATCATCTAGTTCAAAGTCCTGCTCAAAGTGGGACTGTCACCAGCTCTACACTTTATCGTGTTTCTTTTGGAGTTTCTGGGAAATTCCTCAATAGCTGTGACAGAAATGCTGATGTAAAATTCATGTTCTTTCTCACAGCCCTGCCACAGTGTCACTGTGGGGCCTTAACTCTTACCAGTGACTAAAAAGCTCTGTTTGCAGTAATAATGAACCTGAATGTGCTGCTTCTTAGCTCATTAATACTTGAAAAAACATTGCGAGAGCCTCAGAGGGAGGACAGCATGTATAAGAAATGTAAAAAGATTATTGGAGCTGACAGCAAACTAATGACACTAGTTTGCTGGAGGCTGCATGGCTCCCCACACGTTGTGACAGTCACAGTCCACCACTCTATCTAACGTGTAGCTATGTCTGAAGAAACCTAATGTGCATCCTCTGAATTCTCCAGAACTTCTGTATGAACTACCTTCACCATGCATTATAGAAATGTATAGAGCCTGGTAGAAGCTGTATCGCAGTAGGTGTATTACAAACCTGTACAGAAACCCGTTTCCTTCTCTAAATACCTTGGAGCTTAAGAAGTAAGCTCTCTTACAAAGTAGGGTGCATAATATATGTGGCTTTATGTACATTTGTAGCAAACAGGTATTCTGGGGGGATACAGCAAGAGCCATCTATCCTCATATGCTTCAAATCCTCTATATCGTTAATCAGATGATTTCTCTGAGGAATTGGTATGCTGGATTTTGATAGTTAATTAAATGTGCGTGTGTCTAAGTATATGTCACTATGTATGACATTGAGTTCTACCTACCTCACAAATGTTTGTACAAGAACTCCTCTGTAGTTAGCTTCAGATATGGAAAGAACTACTGCAAGTAGACCTATCAGTTGCAGCTGGAATTACAGAACTAAGATAAATACCAGTACCAGCTGTTGTAATGTGGATATTGGCTTGAGGTGGGTAGAGCAGCAGAGATCAATTAAGTGAGCTAAGTGAACCACAGGGCAGTTAGAGAGATCACTCCCCGAGTCAGGGTCTATTAGTTCACTCATTTAACCACTGTGTAGCCAAAGACAACAATACTTCTTCAGCTACGGAAGTCCAATGGACTGATCTATCTGAGTTGGAAGGACATTTTCTTATGAAGGGCTGTGTGGCTACAACTAAACAGATTTTATGCTGCTTGATTAAAATAAAACAAATTAAAGAGCCGGTGCAGTTTCAGTATTGTTGAAATATTAGACCTGACGTGGACAGCTGCGGCTCAGGACCAGGCCTCACCAGTATCTAGCCAATAGCACATTGATTGAACTGCACTGAAAAGCGGACCTTGGTTTCCTCCTCATTTAACCTGGTCCCTATGTGAACTTAGGGGATTTGATTCCTTCAGGAGCCACTTCTAACACTGTGAAAAGACATGGTAAGATAAAACTGAGTCTGCAGTGGAACCTACCCGTTTCCAGGCTTCTGCAGTACCTACCAACACCATGGGTGTCAAGAGGCTTGCAGTCCTTTCTGCCTCCTCTGTTACCTCCTGCTGTCAATCAGGAAGTCTGCTCTGAACTGTCCTGTTTAAAAAACAATGATGTCCCTTAGTTTGCTGCTGTTTGATATTCCAAAATACTAAAATCAATATTCCTCATCCTATATTGGCTATCTCGCTCTTTTGGAGCATAATCTCTGATACTCAGTGCATTTTCATGCATGGAATCATGATAACCAGTAAACATATTAATTGTTGCTATGATTTTATCACTCCAATTTAGTTGGATACAGTACAGAAATAATTTTGAATAGAAAAATTTCATTGGATTTAAATTTAAAACTTTTAAACAATTATCTATTGCTGCCATTATTCTTCCATAGTTTAGGTACAAAAACTGAATGGAAGGCCTGGAGAAAGGTTAATGTTGGGAGTGTAAAACAAATGTCAAAAGATTTTGTGTTTCCTATGTTCTTTCTGTAATTCTAATAAGGGCATATTCATGCCATTTGGGTCCAAAGCTGAAGGTTTACTTAGAACCCAACCCAGACAATCATGCTTGTTTCTTTCTTTTCATAACAGTGAAGAAAATATGAAAAACAACATTGTCCTTACTTTGTAATCAGCACTTTCTGAACTGATTTGATGTGCTGAAAAGTCACATTGCTGGATTGTTGCTATTAAAGCTGCTTGCACATCCAAAAGGAAGATAAATAACTATATACCTGGCACAGGTTGTGAAGAGTGTAACCTTTTTCTCTGATCATCATCCTTGTACCCTCTATTTTCATATCTTCTTCAGCACTGTGTACAGTTTTCTGACTTCCAACCACAATTCCCATTTGCAGCTAAACTCTATTTATAAAATATACAAAGTGCCTGATCCCAAGCTCAGCAAAGCCTTTGGGATTCTTTCCATTGACTTCAATACAGTTTGGACTGAGCCCAAAAAGAATGAATTCCACAATGAAAAGACAGTGTAAACCCAGGGCTCCTGGATTTCTGCCACCAGCTGTAGATAAAGCAGAACAATTGCAGCAGCAGGACTCTTTTATTACTGTCGTTAAAGTAACAGCCCATGTCCTGTTCCCTTTCTGGGCCATATAGAGTGGGGAATACAGTGGGACCAACGGCATCACGCTACCCCTGGAGCAATGCAGCAGAGAGCTCATGCAGGCTGGGAGGTGGAGTGCTGCCTGCGGGACTTAAACTGTCTTTTTATTTGACAATTTCCCAGTGGTTTTTGTAGAACATGAGGACAGGGAGCAGGTAGCAGCACCCAGTAAAAGTAACAGGCTTTAGCTGCATGAATCATGATGCCAACATGACCTCAAAGTACAGAAAGTTGACCACACACTGCCATGCTCAGATGGGATAGGATAGGATAAGATAGGATAGGATAGGATAGGATATGTGATGGGACCAAGCAGGTCTGTCATCTTTTGTGTCCTCCTTCACATCCCAGATTAGAAAAATAGTATTCAGAGACTCATAAGATAATTGGAAGTGATCTCTGGAGGCCATGTGGTCAAACCTCCTATTCAAAGCAGGAGTAGCTTCAAACTTAGTTCCCATATACTGTATTCATAACAAATGTTGCAAAAGATTGTGATCTAATAGCATCGATCTGCACATGGTTACAAGCAGAAAAGGCATTCAGATTCCACAATACCTCAGTGACAACATGCTTATTCATGTGCTAAGTGAATCCCTGGCACCTGAAGCCATGCCCTGCCCCAGCCTTGTGAAATTCAGAAGATTTTCATTACGTTGAATGGGAATATACTGCTGCATACAGAGCCTTATATTGAAATGGATGGCATGGCTTGCCTGCTAAACAAGTGGACTAGTTCAAGCCTCTAAGGAGATTCAGTACATATTTCTAAATCCAAAACAAGGCTAAACTGTCACACAATAAATGGGACTGTTGGAGTGAAAGAAATGAAACAAACGAAAAAAACTGAGTAAGGACCTCTTTTCACCTACAACATTTATGCAGAGCAAGCACTTACAGCTTGTCTGTCCTGAATTGTAATGTATGACCATATGATATAATATTGGGAACACCTATTTAAACCAGAAGGATAGCTATCTGAAACCAAAATGAAAGCCTAATCATAACATCAGGACAAGAATCTGATTGGGAGCAGCCAACATGGATTTACTAATGGCAATTCATTCCTGACCAAAATGATTGCTTCTCTGTGGACAAGGGATGGGCACTGGATGTTGCACACCCTGACTTTAGGAAGGCTTCTGATGCAGTCTCCCATAGTTTTGCTATCACCAAACTGATGACCTATGAAGTGGATAAGCGGATGATAAAATAGGTGGAAAATTGGCTTAACTGATAGAGAGAGTTGTGATTGGCATTCATGAGACTATTTCTGGAGTACCATGTCCAGCTGTGAGATCCCCAGTACAAGAAAGATATTGACATAATGGAGCAAGCCCTGTGCAGGGCTGCCAAGATGGTCAGGGGACCAGAGCACTGAGAGAACTGGGTCTGCTCAGCCTGGAGGAAAGAAGGCTGAGGAGAGACTTTGTTGAGGTCTAGAACTACAACTAATCAGAGGATACAGAGAAGATGGAGGCACCCTCTTCTTGGAGGTGTATGGCAATATTATAAGATGTAACAGACACAAGTTGGAACATGGGAAATTCCAATTAGATATAAGCATAAACTTTTCATCCTGATGATGCTCAAATACTGGAACCGGTTGCCCAGAACAATTGTGGCATTTCCATCCTTAGAGGTGTTCAAGACTTAACTGGACAAGTCCCTGAGCGACCTGATCCAATTAGACCTGCATTGAGGAGGGGGTTGGACCACATTATGTCCAAAGGTTCCTGTCCACCTTCAGTACTCTGATTCTGTGACCAAATTATGTAGAAATGCCTGAGCTAATGCTGAGCTCACTAATTCCAGGGCAGGAAGCGGTGTAACAGCATTGCTATTATACTGCTCTGCTCAGGCCTCTTGAGACTTGGAACTGATTAGCTTAGGTGCTGCTCCACATCCAAGTGACTATACTGTTTGGGGATCCAAGCTAGTTTCATTGATTGCAGACACAGCAGCATGATCAGAGCTGACTTAGGAATCACTGCATGGCACTGCATGGTGTGATGCAGACATGCCCAGAATTATAATTTCAGCTCTACAGCAGGATGAGTGTGGTCAGGCAGATTCACCATCTTAGAATGCCAGTGACATATTGGAGTATAAAACCTTCATTTTGACCTTTATCTTACTGAGGAGAAATGACTTCAGGCTGCAACATTTGGTGTCATAGTTTTCAAATTAAAAATGAGAATCAGTTAATTAAAGTTTTGAAAGCATTCTGAGATCCTTACATAAGAAGTGTAAAACAAATGCTAGGTTTTGTAATTCCAGATGTATAACAAAAATTAGAAGTAGAGAGACTTTTCTGTGGCCTTATTTGTGGTTTTCTCCCCACAGTTCTAGAGGGATGCTTTAACTGTCTATACATTTCTAAAAATGTATGTATGCCCTAGATAATCAATTTGGCATTTGAAATAACCTGTTCCTTAACCGCTTTTTTAGCTACTACTCAATGATACAGATGGAATTTTTAACTTTACTGGAATTAAAGGACTGCTTGGGCCTCCAGTGAGTATATGCTGCTTTGTTAAATCTTCAGATTTGCTTTATCTTCAGTGTCTCCTTTTAAGTATCAGCTAGAGCTGAGTTTCCTGTGCTTTAGAATTGTGTTCCTTCTAACTTCAGCACTAAGCTCTGTGGAAGTACTTCAGGGCAGAACTGAATTCTGCGTGAATGAATTGCTTTTGCACATTTGTATGAAAGAAAGGAATTGGCTGAGCTCTGAATCTGAACTATATGCTCAGAATGACAGAAATGTGGAACTGATGCAAAAATAAGGACCAAGATTTGCATAGCATTTCTTCCATTTTTTTCCTATTCTTGTTTTTCAAGTCATAAAATGTTGGGATAAAGTATTTTGCTCAGTTCTGCTTGAGACTGCAACTAGGAATGCTAGGCTCCTGCGTATGAGTTTAGTCTCACAACAATTACAGCTGTGGATGAAAAGCTGGAAATTTCATGAGCGAACAACAGATGTGAAATTTCAGGTTCTGTTTTGCAGCTAGGATTATAGCTGCAAAATAATTCAGTCAAATATTTGAAATTCTGAATGCTTCTTGGTAATGATTTCAAATTCCTAGGACTGGATCTAAAGAGAAATCTACCTTTTCCAGGCTGTGGAGTCTATTCAAACTTGCTTGAAAGTCTACAATATATTGCACTTTGCAAAATTTTAATCCCCGCAAATGAAGCATCTTACTTCACAGCTAGTTTCATTTGTGGACTGTTGTTTGTGTATTTTAGTTTTTCTGTTTTCTTGTTTGGGAGCACAGTTCTCTCCCTCACATTCAATCTGTGATGCAACAAGGAAGACCAGAATTTCACTCTACATAGCCATAGTTTGAAAAAAAAAATGTATCTTATTAATACAACTGTCCCAAAACAAATATTTGCTAAATCTGTCAGTGAACTGGGAAGAAGGGCATTAGCTCCAATAACAGCTTTTAACCTTTATCTGTTAGCCTAACATGCCTCTTTTCCACTTGTCACATGGTAGGATGACATCATATTATTGTGGCTGCATCCAGCTGTGCTTATGGTAAAACAGCTTTCATGGAAGAGTATTTTGATGTGTTTCATAAAGACCTGATTATCCTAATCCCTGGACATAATAGGATACCAGGATAGGATGGGCCCTCTTGTGTGAGCTCTGTTACTGCAGGTAGTTGCTGTTCAAGCCTTAGGTGACAGGTTCTCAAAATAACATAGATGAGTGGGCTCGTGAGCCCAGCAGAAATGCATTGGTTTGTAATAGTTGTTAGAGTTACAGTCCCAACAGAAAGAAGTAGGTCCTGTAGCTCGAAGCGCAGTTCCAATTGGAAAGGTCTTTGAACCTCGGTCTCTGAGCTCACCCTAGGCAGGAAAGAGGTGCTGTCTCGTAGTGGCTCGGGTAATACGCATCCAGGTGATCTGAACTAGAACTAAAGTGTTTCTCTGCAGATATCACAGTGGAGCAATCTGAAATATGCCCAGTGCAAATCCAAATCCATGTTTCTATTCACAGCCTATTACACGCTGTATTTTCTATCCACAGACAACCAGGAGCAAAATGGCAAAGGTGGGAGGGCTACTGTGATCTCTGTGCTGGAATCTGGAAAAGATTCAAAGGAGGCTGAATTATGGTTGCATGCCTTTCATATGTGGAAAATGTCACCTTTCTTCAGCCTTTCCTGGATCTCTGTCCTTTCAGTTTTGGAAAGTAAATGCTAATGTCCCAGAAAAATTTAGAAGCATGGGGTGTGGTGGAGTGTTCACAACTTTACCACTGGCTGAATGAAGTTCTTAATCCAGTTTCAGATCAGCTGATATTCACAAATTATGCAATACATGGAAAATGCATACTCTGTTTTGCAAGTCTGTAATATGTGTTTGTAAGCAGGTGGGTTTTTTGCATTTTGCAGGGGCCAGATGGCAAGCCAGGTCTACCAGGATTTCCTGTAAGTAGTATGTTCCTTGGATTTAAATAAGTGGTTTTTTATATAGTTTAATATTTTTAAAATTTAAATTGTAGAGAATTTACACAAAGTCTAATAAGTTTTCATATGGGAGACTGTAGGTCTTTATGGAATCAACAGCTATGGTAGGAATTAACTCTGCCGGAAATGAAGTATGCTGTGATATGCACATCTTGTATTTCTGCTTATCTCAGAATCAGTTCTGTAGTTTAAATCTAAATGTAATTGACACTGATGAAAAATTACAACCTAAGGAAAAGACCTATGCCATTTAGGACAAACAAATGGAACAAATGGACTTCTAAAAGTTATCTTCATTCGTATATGTAATTGTATTATTCTTTAGGCTGGTTTTGTCACCACTACAGAGCACAGTAAAGCCCTACGAGGTGTACCTTTTTTATTTTATTCTTTAGGAGACTTTTATTATTTTTTATAATAACATACCAGTGCCACCATGGAAGCATTGCACAGCCATAGTATCAAAAGGTACCTTATACTATGCTGCTTACCTATTGTGCTCAGGCTGCCACACCATATAAACATTATCTGGCTTGTGACTTCATATAGTATTGCTTATGCTATTATATTTATATTCTATATAATGTGATAGAATTATTTTCCCTTGTTATGATTGTTTTACAGTTCAGATGCGTGCATATGGTCTCAGGATCCTTTGTCTATTGCCTGAGAATAACTGAGGAGAAAACTGGGAAAGCTGACAAATGATGTTGACAAAATGCTGGCAAATTGCCCAAAATTCTACAGAAGATTGTTTACTAAGTCCTGGGTATTGTGGACTTCGTAGTGGGCCAAAGAAAGGGGTGGAAAACTCCTTAGAAATACTCCTCATATGAAAAAGAGCTGATAACTTTTAGAAAGTGATATAATGAATTCTTAGTCTCTCTGTCATTTATATAATTTCTACAGACATGAAAATACCATTCATGTTCTTACCTCAGGTCTTTTCTTTATCTCTTCACTAATGAAGAAATCATGTAGACTTGAATTTAGTTCTTGGTGGGTAAAAAAAATGCTTCTGAATGCACTTATAATGGAAGATATTGTAAAACAAAATGTGATCTGAGCGGAATGCTTTCACCACAGAACAGATACAGAAATTATCTCATTTTCAAATATATAATCTCTATTTCAGATAAAAATATTTTTTTAAAGTACTGTTAAAAATAGAGCTTCAGGAATTCTGTTGAAAATCAGTCTGGCTGAATGATCGTGGAGGGAGAGAGAATAGAGTAGGGAGGAAATAGAGAATTTTAGGCTGAATTTCTACTCTTACTAATGTTTGCATATTTCTCTTTGTGAATGTGTGTATCATCTACACTGTGATAAACATCAGGGTTTTTTTGTTTTGTTCTTTTTAACAGATTCTCCCTGTATGATATTTGTTTCAGGGAATACTTTGATTCAGACAGTAATTTAGTCTTGTAAGAGTTCTTAGATTGCAATCAGAGTGATTCAACAAGTTTTCCAGTTATTTAAAATTACATTTAGTAAAATGGCCTAGCTCCATATTCTTAGCAGATCTCACCATGGATTTATACACTTGTTTTTGCTTAGGGCCCTCGGGGACCGAAGGGTGATACTGGTTTGCCTGGATCACAAGGACCCAAAGGCCAACAGGTGAGGGAAAAGTACATGCTGCAAAATGTGTTAGATGAAAAATACTTACTGGTGTTAAAAGTTTAATGCATCTAATCTTACTGGGGATTGGGATGTTAACAAGTTCATGTGAAAAATTTACTAAGTGGAAATTGAAAGAGTGCTAAACAAAATACCTTGATATAATAATACTGAGAGCTAACGTTCCTGCCCTAGTGTTGAAATTCTGCAGTGCAGTATGCACTTATCAGAATAAGTTTGCATAAACATTAAACATGCGGTGACCTCTTCTTGCAAGTTGATTGTGCTGACACCCTGGGATCCTAACTGAAAGGCCAAATAAAAAAAGATTAATCTTTTCCTCCTCCTTTGGCACAGAGGGCTTTTCCTACAGAATGAAGACTGCAGTTTTCCATTCCCAAAGAAAGCATAAGACTTGGGGAGCTCTCTCCTTAGGATCCTTTCTCTTATTTCTGCACAACAGCGTTTATTTTGTAGCACTTCTGAGAGGTGACTAAGGACTAAGTCTGCTATTTTGTAAATATTGTAGCTGTTCTGTTTTTCTTCCCCTTCTCATCCACCTGCAGGAAGCAGGGGAGAGGAACACTTAAGTTATTACAATCTTGGGAATAACAAAAAGAAAAATAAAAACATTTTCTGCTTATTCTTTGTACATAGCTGACCTCACTTTCTCACAAGTAATAGGAAGGCTTGGAAATGGTTAATTATGGTTTGAAATGGGATTGTAGATGAACAGCGTCTTCATTGCTCAGAAGGAAACATCTCAGGCCACAAATACCAGTCCCCTTTTGTCATAAGATTCCTGTTCTTTTACGGAGTGCATAAAATGATCAAGCTCAACCTTAAAACCAGTTGAGTGGTTTTTGGTTTGGGTTGTGGGGTTTTTTTGTTTGGGGTTTTTTTTTTTGGCTTCTGCTGTCCACACTGGAAGGAACTCAAAACTTTGAAGCCATTATATTTTGTACCCACCAATGTTTCTGAGTCTGTTTCTGAGGTGTGAACACCAGGTTATGCTCAAGAGTGATGAAGTTGGGAACCACAATGAAGCTGCACAGACACCTAGGAGCATTTTTAAGGATCATGAGATGCTTCTGTTGCAACCTCAGGTCCATAAAATCTCACAGAAGATAAAGTCAGTGAAGCCAAGACTTAGGGAGACTCCAAAGTATCCAAAGTATCCTCAGGGAGACTCCAAAGACTCCAAAGATTTAAGAACCTGCAAGAGGAACTGAGTTATAGCACTTCCTGCTCAGTGGAAGTGCCATAACCTGGACTGTCATTTTAATCAGCAGTGCAATTGTTTGTTAGTTTCAAGCCAGATTTCTTCCATTAGAGATCTTGGGAAAGCTATTGTAGCAAGCTGCCTGAGCTAGGAGGAGGAAAGTTACAGCTGAAAGATCCAGGGTGGGAACCATGCGCTGGCACGGGGGAATGATAATTCATGGTTGTGGTGCCGTTATTCAATGGAATTACTCCTTGAAGAAGTGGAATGCAGAGGGTCATTTTTTTAAAAAATAAGTACTTATTCATGTCAGGGAGATTTACAGGAGCAGGATGTTTTTAGTGTACTTTATTATGTTTTAAGAAAGATCAGCCCTTTTCTCACCCAGAATCAAGCTTCACCCTGTTCACATTGATATCACTTCATGTTTTATATCACAGCATGATTAATCTGTCATGCTTCAAACAGCAGTAATGCTGCTTTGACTTCTGATTAATTGAGAACTGCTTCGTAAACACTATAAAATTACTTTGATTGCAGGGTGAAAAGGGAGAACCGGGAGCCATCATTGCTGCTGATGGATCTTTAACTGAATTATTAGGAAGAAAAGGGGAGAAGGTGAGCTAATACTGTGTTGTGTTCCTCCAGAATGTTTGGTGGCCTTGTTACCAGCCACCTCTGCTAGATGCTGCAGTTCTTGTCATTGCTCTATGTGTCTGTCCTCAACAGGGTGAAGCTGGAGTGGTGGGACCAGTGGGACCAATGGTAAGACATTTCCAAGGATGACTGCATTCTTTTTTTTATTTTGCTTTGGTTTTACAGGTAATAGTAAGTGTAAAGGTAGTTTGTTTTAGCTTTTCATTCCTTCTGAGTAGGGATGATAAGAAGTATTCATGATGATCATTCAGGATGATCAATGTCCTTCAGAAAAGAATGTGGTTGTTACATATGTGGTGCTGTAAACTACTGACTTGATTCAGAATTTAAATTCTGGTAGCACAAATGTATCTATTACTATCTAAACAGACAGTGAAATATCATCAGAGCTAGAAACTTACATAACTTATGACTCTGAGTGAACTAGGTTTGTTTAGCCCTGAAGATAAAAGGCTGAGAGGAGCTCTAATTGCTCCCTGCCGCTGCCTGAAAGGGAATTGCAGAACAGACAAAGTCAGGTCCTTCTCAGAGGTGCACAGGAAAAAGACAAGTGCCAATGATCGCAAGTTCCAGCAAGGGAAATTCCGATTAGATATAAAGAAAAAAATTCACAGTAAAAGTGGTTAAACACAGAAATAGGTGCTCTGAGAGATGGTGGATTGTGGAACAAGGTGCTGAGCGGCATGACCTAACTTGGAAGTTTGTCTTGCTTTGAGCAAGAGGTTGTACTAGATGATCTCTAAAGGTCCCTTCCAATCTAAATTATTCTCTATTTCTATGATTTGCATTAAAACAACTGATTACATCAGGCTCAATTTCTGTCAGTGCCAATAATTTGCAACTGCCTTGGATTCTGAGGAAGCTGCAAATCAGGCAGTAGAGTCAGACCATTTACCAAAATCAGGATTTAGAGGCCTTCTTTCAGGTACTTGGCCTGATATTTTTAACTGGACACAGAATGTTGTATGAAAGCAAAAGAAATTAGTTATAAAATAAGAACAGTTGCCCAGACTCAGTTGTGTTAGAGCAGGGATTAATTTCTTCTTGTCTAGTATTCCAAAGATCAAGGATATCGAGTGTTTCTTTGCTTCTGCTTTTGATGTAGCCTGGTCTCTGTTGTGCCTAAGTGAATGTTAGTAGGTGTTGTCATTTCTGTGCACCAAGGTGTGTAGGAGATTTTACCATTAGTTTCTGTGGTCTTTTAAAGGGGCTAACTGGATGTGCTGAGTAACTGCTTTCTTAATTACCGTGTATCAGAATACCTTGAGGGGGCTATCCTAACTCACCAGAAGGGGAGTTCCTTTTCTCCTCCTTGTACGACTGCAAGATGAGTCTATCCTTTCACCTTGACATAAAATCATAGAATAATTTAGAATGGAAGTGAACTTCAGAGATCATGTAGTCCACACCACTGCCCAAAGCAGGTCTATTTAGCTCAGGGACTTGCCCAGTCAAGTCTTCAACATCTCTTAGGATAGAGATTCCACAGCTTCTCTGGGCAGCGCATTCCAGTATATGACAACCTTCTGGGTAAAAAAAGTTTTTTCCTTATATTTATTTGGAATTTCTGATGTTCTTGCTTGTGTTCGTTGCCTCTCATCCTGTTGCTGTGCACCATTCAGGACATGTCCTTTTCCTATCAGCCCGAAACTCTGTGTTTACACCTCCTTTTGTACTGCCATGAGATGTTTCATACAGTTCAGCATGCAGACAAGGCCATTCAGAGGAAGTTCTTGCCAGCACTGGTGTGAGTGATTACGCTGCAGGAGAATTTGGCAGACAGAACCTGTCTCAAGACTTTGCTCAGCCAGTTCCTCTTCTTAGTGCAGAACTCTAGTTTGATCATCGCTGCTAATGGGGATGATTCATTTTGGTGTTGTCCCATAGAAAAAATCCCTTTGTAGTCAGTGGGAGTCCTGTGCTGCAAAAATATACAGACATGAGAGTGCTGGGCCAGAGCCTCTGTGGCATAACTTCTCAAAGTTTTCATTATGATGGTTCTGTTCCACTTTGCACAAAGTAAAACTCTGGCCCAGGAACAGCTTTGAGGTAGCTGGCAACTCTGATCGTTCCTCTGTGCTGTTAGGGCACAATGAACTCATACACAAGTCTCCAGAATTTAAAAAAAATTCCTTACTCATTGCTCCCCTCCATTTCGAGACTTCAGCTGGACAGAAGAGAGGACCACAGGAGCTTGGAGCCCAAGGAGCTACAGAGAAGTAGTGGTTTGGCAGATGAGAGTTAGGGATAGTCAGGAGGTTAGTACTGTTATTAGCAAAAGCAGAAGAGACAGACTGAACCCAACCTCCTGCCACAGGGGAAACGAGAATCTTCTACCTGCTCGATTGTGCTGTTCACTGTCAGGGAAGCAGAATGCTGCACATTACTGAATAGAAGCCCTTAGTAAGAACCACAGTGTCAGTCTGCCCAAATTGACTCTCTGCTGTTGTAAATGAAATTTCCTTTTCTGGTGAGCAGTCTCCTGCGGCCTCCTCACTTCCTTCTTTTACTTCTAGCTGTGACTGCGGGCTTCTGTCTCAGGGAGTTGCTAACATCTGTCAGGAGTGGGCTGGTACTTTGACAGCAGAAATAGTAAAGGTGGCTCCAGCACGGTCAACTCTCACATTGTTGATGTTTATTTGAAGTCCCAGTTAAAGCATGAGATCCAGACACTTCTCTTTATTTAAACTAATGAAGAAGTCTGTTTCTAATCATATTCATTGCTCAGTGAAGCTCAGATTTGCATATTCTTTAAAAGCTCAAATACTGGAAAGTGAAATAGCAAAATACCCCACAACATTTTGGATTTCTTTTTTTTCGAACCCCATTATTGGATATGGTAGCACGGAAAGGTGGGTTGAATCATTTTGAAAGCTTGGGGGCACAATATTGAATTTCACATCTGCCAGAGTCCACCAGCAATCTATTGCCTGCTTTAGACACAGGCATTAGCTTTGATCGTATGGGCAGAAATCACCTTCAAACAGGAAATGAAATAGAAATTTAATAAAGGTCCTACCATCTTCGAAGAGTTTCAGCTGCCATTAGTGAGCTTTAAACTCTGATTACAATGGTGATCTTATGAATCAATATGTTCACATGTTAACTATTTCTTAATTTCATCTGTAATCCAGTCTTCAGTCTTGGCATGATAAAAATTACAACAATTAATCCATGAATTTCAGCTTGATGCTGAGATAAATCATCTCATCATCATCAGATAAATTTTCCATGAATGCACATCACTTTTCAATGAAATGATATTACATAAAGGCAATGACAAACACTTGCCAGTTTCAAAAAAAAAAGGTGTTGTTAATTGAAAAGTCTATCAATATGGCAATAGTTTAATTCATAAAATGGATTGGTAAGAGACTGGTATTTGAATCCAGATGGTGTATTCCCGTGTCAATATTCTGCTGATCAGATGAGATGAAAAACTCTGAGCATGCAAATCATCCAAGTATAAACATCAGGCTATTGCAACCTTTCTAGCTCTTCACTTGCTCGTGCTCCCTCTATGCCTTGAACTGAGAGATAATATGGCAACAGAACTGTACTATAAATAAGGAGACTCAGTTCTGCCACAGGCTTGCTTCCTTCTTAGTCTCCGCTTTCCTTAATAATCAAGAGCAAGTGAGTGGCAAGATGGGGATTTCCTCTTGGTTTTGGTTGTTTGCTAGTTATCCTTTGAAGTAGCAGTCACAATGCCAACAAATGTTTGTTACCATTAAAGTGATGTGCTGAAATTGTCGTAAGCAGTGCAATAGCCAATGTCTTTCTTCCATCAGCATAGGTCTGTGTTAACCACCATATTGCGGGTAGCAATAGAAAGTCTGTTACAATAATCACACCGAAAGTACTGTGATTTCTCGGGATTAAACACGTCAGTTGTCACCTATAAGTGGTACCTGCATGAGATCTATAGACAGAGATTATTTAACCAATAATGCAAGAAGGGGTATCTCTTAGCATTTCACCAGACTGAAAAAAAGGAAATGAAACCAGAAAGGTTGATACATATGTAAAGAGATTGTCTAGACCCTTGTGGTTTTGTTGAGTTTCAGGAAGCTGACAGCAGATGGAAGTTTGTGGTATCCTCAGGTTTACTGCTTTTTGTTGATCACTTGCTGGCTGCCTAGAAGTTGCATGTTTGCAAATGCCCAATCATAGATCATCCATAGTCCTGGACCACTTTTCCCGGGCAGCCTGCTTGCCCTTTCTTTTTGCAGTCACTTGTATCAATTCGTGAGGCCTTATGGGTCAGTCACTCTTGTATAAAGAAGGATCTGTTCTGTTTCAACTATCAGCCCCATAAATCCACATACCCAGGCCGGCAAGAGGCATGTAGAAGCCTGGCACTATATGAATTCTCAGGCTGATCCACAGACATTTCCTCATAGGGCCTGATTAAAAAATAATTAGAAAAACAAAGCAAACAAAAAGGAAATGCACAAAGCGTACACCACTAACTGCCGTTTTTCTACTGACTGATACATTTAGTTTTCCTTTGATACATGGTGATTCAGTTTTGAATTGCACACCCTACAAATGGCTGAGAATTCAGACTTCATTTCAGATAACCAGTCTTTTCCAAGCCAGAGTTGACTGTTATATGCAGGCCTCAGCTTCTGAGATCACTCAGCAGACAATCACAGACTGATTTTTATCACAAATATAAAACTATGCCTCTTATTCGAAATAATCAAATATACGTCAAAGGTAACGTTCCATATATTCTCCATAATCACATTTTCTTTCTTGTCCAGGGACCAATAGGACCTACTGGACCTAAAGGAGAACTTGGTTTCCCAGGACGGCCAGTACGTATTATGCTCTCAAGTGGAATAAAAATAGAAGAGCTTGCTTCTGACACATACTACACTATTTCTATTTATTTCAGGGCCGCCCAGGACTGAATGGACTGAGAGGTGTGAAAGGTGATCGAGGTGAAGCGTTTAATGTAAGTTCTTTTGTATTGCAATTAGTTGAAAAAAAATCCTGTTCAAATCTTAAGTCAAATCTGATTTATATGAATTCCTTTAAAATGATGACAGGACTGAAAACCTGAAATGATGTAGAAATAATTGTATGTTTCTGCTACTTTTCCTATCTGGTAACAATCATTGAAAAGTCAACTTCTGGGTCCATCTGGACAGTTCTTGCAGATACACATAGTTGTATCAGCTCCCAAGTGTAACAGTTGTATGTGTGACTCACTGATAGCATAGCTGGATCAAATAGCAAATGATCTGGGATTGCCAATTCTTTCTATACATCAAAGACTGTATAGAATCATATATTTCACAATAGCAGAGTAATTTGTGTGGCTGTTCTGATGTCATGGGGCAATCTGTGCTAGAAAAATTGGTACCCATACCACAACAGCAGCTAATCATCTGCATCAGAGATATGCTAAAAAAAAAAAAAAAAAAAAAAAGGCAAGGGTATTTTACTGTGTTAGCATAGAAATCATAAACTAGGGATCAGCTAGGCATCAGAAGAGGTGATCTAGCCTATCTCACTGTATTTCAGTAGAGCACTTTTTGTAAATGAATTCTGTTGTACGAGTCCTCTGGTTCTACTTTGTTTAAAAGAAAAAAAATATACATGGCACACAAACTGCAAAACACAAGTATGTTGTCTATCTGGACAATAAATACAAGCGAGATGATGATATTGCTTTATCCAACTAACAGGGAGACTGAGAATTGGTAAGTATCTAGGTATCTTCACAGAAAGAAAAGACCAGGTGCTAAAGGTTGCTTACACCTCTAGAGAAAGGTGTAAATAGAAATTTAGTTGCTGGAAGGTGAAACCAGACAAATTAGACAAATTCTAATTGGAAGAAAATAATAGAAAAGATGAATAGCCACCAGCAGAAAATATTAAAGTAGATTTTCCATTCCTCCATATATTCAAACAGTGTCAAGGTGCATTTTCTAGATTGTCTGCGTTAACCAAACAAAAACTGTTAAAGCAAGTATAACTAGATGAAGTACATCAGCCTGGGAGATTAACGCAAACAAGCAAACAAAACAGGATACATGTTCTAATAGTCCTTCCTGGAGTGCTCAGGGAAGATAAAATCTAATGGATCTCTAATTACTGATGAGATGACATGTGTCACCTCATAGGAGCTTGCATTGGTGTGGAGTGAAAGATGGACATGGCATGGTGCCAGATTTTTAAATGACACAGTAAAGAGTTGGCATATTTTTTTGTAAAGGGCAGTCACGCCTCCAGTCTAGCAGGGTTCCTTGAAGGTGCTAATTAGCGTGTAGTTATCTGACTGGCACTTGAAAGTATATGAATCTCGGCAGTCTTGAGAATCCGAGACCAATCTCAGATACCTAATTTTCCTTGGATGAGAGATCCACTGCCTTTAATTTAGTTTCAATTTTTAGTGCTTTGGGGTTTCTGGTTTGGGGTTTGGGGTGTGTTTTTTTTTCCCCTGGAAACAACGATCTTAGACCATTTTGTTCTCCACAGAGTGCTTTAGGTTAAATATTAAAATTCACCTGACGGGTTGGTCCCTGTAACTGAATGCTCAGTCTCCCCTCAAGCCATTTAACACAAAACTTCTTGGTTAAATGGGGCCCTCTGAGCCCCTTGGCCTTCCTTCTGTAGTCTCAGTTGTATTGCATATGAAAAGATCTGTCTAATATCTTCCTTCTTTCACCTTCTCTTACCAGGGCCTTCCTGGCTTGCCTGGACCCCCAGGGCCCCCTGGACCTCCAGGACGTATAGTTTATATCAAAGGAGTAAGTACAACTGGGGATCAGTTGCTGGTCTATCTCTGTAGAAGAAATGTGCTGCTCTAGAAACAGTTTGCAAAGGGAAACATCAAAACTTGTTTCAGGCAACACAGTTTACAGTGGGTGACCTTGCTTGTGTGCGTAGGAAAAAATCTCTTAACCGGAGCCACTGTCATGTAAGAGTTTTGCCGCCCCACACACAGAGTGGGACCTGCTGACAGACCTGTGAGAGCTCAGCAAGCTGGGCTCTCCGCTTGGGAGGTGCTGATTTTTGTTTCCAGGCTTTCCCCCGTCACGTCTATTAGATCTACTTGGTGTGTTATCTGCTGTATTACACCTACGTTCATTAAAATAATTTCCCTTCCTGTTTTCAATAGACAGTTTTCCCAGTCTCTCCCAGACCTCATTGCAAAATGCCAGTAAGTCACACACAGAATCTGCTCTTAGCAAAATGCATGGCCATGACAGTACATAACCAAAGTAGCTATATATGTAACCACGGTAGCTTTGCAGCTTTTCTCCCCCTGCCTTCTGCTTTGCACCAGAGATGTGTTTTACCTAGTCTTCAAGATAACAGATTTTCAAGTGTTTAGATACCCAAAATTAGCCGTATATAAAATATATAACAGAACTAGAAACACTAGAACTTTTTGCTTAAAGCACTTTGATTACTTGGTTGCCCTAACACTTTTAATGCCTTTCAAAGCCCGTTTTTCCATAGTTTAAGAGTTGCTTTGGGGAGTTGAATGTTTATACATACATGTACACACATTTTTCAGATGTATATATAAATACTGGCTCCATGTTGTTACGTCTTTAGCGGTTTTCAATTTCCCTGTCCAAAATAAGACTTGTTATGTATTTCATTGTGGCATGAAAGGTGCATCAGAAAAGAAAGGTCATGTTCTTTATTTGACCCTCAAATGCAGTCCATTCACATATAAACATTTAGTATCTCAGGAATGGCAGGAGGTGAAGCTCTGCCCCTGCTTTCCAAAGGGAATGACAAAGCCCCCATTACCTTCAAAGGACCTGCAATTTTACACATAGTGTCAAAAGAAAGGAGATGGGGTTTATATTTTCAGAACACCCTGATGCAATTTTTGTTTAATGAATCATGGAAATTACGTCCTACAATGAACTGCGAACAGAGTTCAGTCCTGGAAGAACTTTCCCTAGGGCAATATTGTACTGTTAAGCCGTGGGTTATGTACTTGGAAAGGATTCTGTCTTTGAGAGCCACAGTTCTCCCCTGAATAGTGTGGTGTGTAGCATGGCTGTTCTACTTTTCTGTTAGACAGTATAGCTCAAAATAGTATTGTGCCCCCTCCTCCAATTTCCATTCCAGTTCTTTTTCACTTGTTTTAGAGAAGCAGCTCCTGACTTACACCGTACTAGATACATTGATACTCATCATCACCCTACCCTTACTGCTGAAGAAAGATGTATGCCAGCTTATGGATCTTTCTGTTAATTAATGATAAATAGTCCTTACTCTATGGTAATTCGACATTTCTACGGTTTTGGCCTACCACCTCCAGGCACCATCTTTTTACCTCTTTGAATTTCTCCCTTAAATCTTTCCATTCCCACAGTATAACATTCTTGTGTGTTAATCACATATGTCCATAATCACATATGGATTAGTCAGCCTCGCCTCTGAAACCTGACTGGACAAAGCCCTGAGCAACCTGATGTAGTTGACCCTGCTTTGGGCTAAACAATCTCCAGAGATGCCTTCCAACTTCAGCTCTCCTATGATTCTCTGTGGAATGATTCAAACAATACAAGCCTATTTTAGTTGAACTTCAGATAATAATAACAAGTCACTTTTCAAGAAGGTTACAATCAGTGAATAATAGCAGTAACTTTTATGTGCACAAGTAATAGAAACCTGTACTTACAAACACCTCTTTGTGCATCTGAGTATGCTGGATAGATTTGTCCTACATTTGTGAATAATCTCCTAAACCTATCCGAGTTTGTAGATAAGAAGTCTGCTGTACATGCCTACATAAATGAATATCGATAAAGAACTACAGACAACCCCACAAGTTTTCCTCATGTGAACTGAACTTCTGAAGTTAATGGAGCTATCCATGTGAGTAAGACTTCTAAGAGCTAACACTGCAGGATTAGCCAGATGCAGCACCTTCAATTTTTTTTCATACGCTTGCTTAGATTCATATAAATAGTACTAGGTAGTACTAAGATCTGTCCATTTCCAAGCACTGTGCCACATTTTAATTCCTGCACTGTCCCTATTTTGAAGACAGGCAGTAGAGGTAAGTAGCATGCCCACTGTTACAGGTGGCTGGTGTCAGAACAGGATAGACTAGAATAGCTTCTGCCTCCCAGTTGTGGTCTCACTGCATCTGGAGCATAGTTCAACATCAGACAGTAGGCATAGCCATGATCTGATGATAAATTTACAAACACAGTCTGTTATCTTACAGTCAAAAATCAAATCCTGCTTTCAAATGTAGTGATGTAAATTCAGAATTGTTCTTGGAGAATGAGTTTTCTGATGCTTCACTGGCATGACTGAGAGTAGGATTTGCTGATGCCTCCAAAATGCATGTTGTTACCCTCTTGCTGAAAGCATGTTGCATGTTAAAGAGAGCACAATCCTGAAAAAAGCCTGATCAGCTAATACTCAGACTTTGTCAAACTGGAGATAATCCCAGAGTGTTGTTATAATATTTACTGTGATAGTATGCAAATTTTCCAGGCTTTCCAGTCACACCAAGTAATGCACTTCCATTGGGTAATGTGTATGGATAATTTTTAATACATCTCTCTGTCTGTAGGTGAGCACTCCTTACCCTGGAAATCAAGAAGCTCTTAATGTCCATGGTGAGTAATTCTTTTCTTGTACCTTGGTTTAAATAAGCTTTTTTTTTTCTTTTTTTCTTAGTTAAGCTCTTTTTGCTTTTTCTTGACTATTGCATAACTAGGTTTATGGAGGGGAAAAAAAAGAAGAAAAAAAAAGGTGGTCTCTCTTCTTTTTCTGGTGAAACTGTAAGATCATATCTTGGTCCAGTCTCCATGTGTAGGCCAAAGAATAAATGAGCCTAGGTCTGCACTTTGAAGACTAAGATTTATAAATTGAGCAGTGCAACACAGTTTCTGCAAGATCTAATCTTAGAAGTCCTCTCTCGGAGCAGAGGTGCCACACATGGCTGTGCCAAATCATTACTCTCTGCTCTGGCAATGCTCCTAAGATGCAAATTCTAAAGTCCACCTGATACTACATCCCACCAAGCAACCAGGTGGTCTCATTCCTCCAGTGTTTGACTGATGGTGTCAAATCCACTTCCCTTTTGAGTGACTGATACCAAAAAACCTGAGCTTGTAAATCAGATCTCCCATCCTTTTGCTTGAAAGAAAATTATCACAGGCAAGGTCAACACATACTGGCTGCTGGAGTCCCAGAGAACATTGCTGAGGGAAAGAACCAAGCTATTAACAGTTATTTCTGTGAGGGGGGCTGAACTTCCTGGTGAGACAGAAGAAATGTTTCTCATGCCCTCCTTCACTAGGAAGGTGAGGCCTGTTGAAAAGAAAGTAATTTCTGGGCTTTGGGAGTAGCTAGGACAAAAACCTGACAGGCAGACAAAGAAGGAAGTAAGACTAGTGGGGAAGGAGGATGAGAAACTCCACACATGAGGACCCTGGGGAAATTGTCACAAGGCTGGAGAAGTTTTGTTAGTTTTCACTCCTTTTAATGGAAGGGGGCTTCAGGACAATAGGGGGTCAAATTTGTGGGGTACAATGATGCCCTGAGCTTTCTTTCTGAATCGTTACTGCTGAATGACTGACTCACCTCTTACAAGTGAAAGTCTAAGTCTTGTGCTTGGCAAACTGTCCACATTTCTTCAGGGCTATGTCCACAGAATTAAGTCCATAGAGCCTAGGACTGTCCAGTGCTGCTCCTAAATTCAAAGACTCCCAATTGCTTGTCTCCCCCTGCACGCAGGGACTCCAAAAGGTTTCTCTGTTCATATTTTTGTTTTTAACAAAGAATCCATGATCTAACAGAATAAATGCCCACAGAGAGCCCAAAGTTCTTGGTTCAAGGCATTTTCCTTAGTTCTAAGAGTTGAATCCAGGCTGATAAAGGACATTCTGTTCTTTTTAGGCTTTCAGCCTAGGTAAAAGCTTGAAAGTGAGGACTTTGACTGTGACAATTTTGTTCAAAACTTGTTGGTTTTATTCAATTAATCATTATAGATTCTTTTCTCTAAATGTATACTGATTCTCAACCCAAAGAGTAAATCCTAAAGTCACTCCAGCATGCATCTCTTCTTTCTTTGGTTTAAGGAGGAAAAGTCACCATTTACATACAGTTTTCACCCCATTTTAAGATTATTGTAATAGTCTGACCATTCCATTCTTGAGCTAGTACTCCACCAGATAAGCACAAAGTTGTCATTTACTGTGCACACCAGGCATTAAAATTAACGCAAGCCTGCGTCTGTGGTTCAGTGGTTTTGTCCTTCCTCAAAGACATCCTCCAAGGATGGATTCAGTTACATGCAGAGGGAAACAGGTAGCAGTGCTGCGCCAAAAAAATGGTGAATGCTGATTGAAATTGTGCTGCCTTGAGCAAATTGGCTCAAGTGTGGAAGTCCTTCAGTTCCAAGGGTAGCAGAAAGTTCTGTGACAGTTTTGCCCCTTCACAGCTTCTTGGAGCTGGAAAAAAAGTTTGGACATTAAAACAAAGTCCCAGAACATCCACAGGGAGCAGCCGTCAGTTTTCTTACAATCCAGTAGTACACAATGGAGAAGGAGGTCGTCTCAAGATCACGGAGGAAATGAATTCAGTGGTCTTCCGCCTCTTATTTAACTACTTATAATAAAAATTTATTCCTGCCTATTTATTATACTTTCAGAGTAATTCTGTGGAAAAAAGCAGTAGTGCAGCCTCTAATATACAGCCCGAACCTGTTTCCCAGTTCCCATGTTCTTAATTAAATCATTTGTTCCCATCACTGTGCAAAGGAGTCTGGAGAGTTTACAGTTTAATCAGATAAGTCAGAGCCTGCATGGCAAAAACAGTGCATGCAAAACAAGTTGAATAATGCAGCAGCAGTATATGTTTTATCAGCTCCGAATGGTGGGCTTTGGGGCTGTTTCTAGAGGAAGAGATGGCTACCTGGGGACCACTTCTCTAGTGTGGTCCAGAGAGTAGGCAGTGGGCTGGTATCAATAACTAGAAGAGCTCCTCTCCCTCATCAATGACTGAGACACTTGGAAAGACCAGGCCACCTTGGTCCAAATGGAAAAAGAAAGGAAGAGAAAGAAAAGAGTGCAAGGGGTCAGGATAAGGGGCAAGAGTGAACATAGTAAGTGGTAAAGTAAGATATCTTGAAGAAGAGAAAGTCAGAGCTTGCTTGTATAAGCTCTGTATTAGTCTCAATATTTTAAGATGACCTAAAATACTGGATGACTGGACTGGAAATCTGCCTGGAAAATAATTGAAGATGTCACAGTTGGACAGTTAGGGTTCAGCTGACAACTAGGAAAACTGTCTAACTGCAAACCTGAGAGACTGCGTGATTGGCCTCAGTGCAACATAAAATGAGGCCCCACTGTTCTGTCAATAGGCATTTGGACATGGGCTCACAGCTGGAGGCTGAGTCACCAGACACATCATGGGGAAACCCATGGGAGTATGACCAGCTTTCACCTCTCATGGCTGAAAATCGAAAGAGAAGGGTGGAGAGGAACTGTCTGGAAACTTCTGTTATAACATGGGGCTCTGAAAGGGAAGAAGTCCATCTCATTCTTCTGTATTTTTAGCCATTCTGCACAACTAGAAGAAGGAAAAATGCTGTAACTATTTTTCAAACTAAGGCTTTCTTACCAATAAAGTCTTTATTTATTTCTTACAAATAAAGTCTTATTTATAAGTGGCACCAGGTCATGGAACATGGACTGGGTACCCAAGCAAGAGATTGTTTCTCTGCTTGCACCAGTGAAATTCACAAATGTAACCAGATCAGGTTAGAAAAGAGCCAGTGTTCTTAGTGATCCACTGACTCTCAGCATAGATCACAACTGAACACAAGGGCTGAAGGTATCACGGGCAGGGAACCATTAAAAATTACTTCAAGAGACGTGTCTTGTATCGGCTTGTTATTGTACTCCAGCACCCTTCCTGCTCATAAATCAGAATAGGACCACCTCACCTTAAACTTGAAAAGGCATTTCTACCTGAAGGAAGTGGCTATAAGATGTTACTGTGGGAGAATGATGTTATTTTACATGAATGTTGCAAAGATATTAGCAACTACTCAGGCAGAAGAGAGAGAGAAATCAGACCTAAGAAGTCTAAATACTCACGGGTCATTTTACCCAGATATTTTATAGGATAAGATTACCATGAAAGTTGAATAATATCTGGGAAAATAGAAGGTTTATCCAGATGTATTTGGGTGCAATTCTACCCGTAGCTCATCTGGATGGAAAATTATGCTAAAAGCATTTCTGTTCTCAGAGAACATTTTCTTCATTATTAATGCTTTTATGATATGAAGGAGCAATAAACAATAACATTTTTGACATTCACAGCTGCAGATATTATCATTTATTGGTTTGTTTTGGACTCTGGAGACAGTAGAAGATGTGGTATCAAACACAGAGCCATAACTCATGAACTGTTTCTACACTTGCCCCAGTGAAATGCATAAATGCGGTGAGAACAAGTTTGTTCAGAGGGTCTTAGCTGGGTGGTTAGAGAAGGGAGAGTGAAAGATTGACTTGTAAGAGAGAGATTGTCTTCCACATGTTGGGGTTGATAAGAGAGAACAATCAGGCAGCCATGATCAGGCAATCATGAGGAGAGTGAGACGAGCATAGAGGGGCTGGAGCCAAGTGTCCCATATGTATGGAAAAGTCTGCTCTCACTTTCTGTGGTTTGGTTGTCACTGCTGTAGTCTCTGCTGTCTGCAAGTTCTCATGAATTTGTGATGCTTTTATGGCAGGTGCTAAAGCAAACAGAGATTCCTGGGAGCTGCACAGTTCAGCAGACTTAAAAGGAGAAAAGGGAGAAAGAGGTGCTCCAGGACCACCAGGTATACTAAATCTGATATGTCACTGACATCCTGTAAAGGAATACATGTTTAACTTAAAAAGCAATTCAGCAAAGTGCTTTGATACTTACCCCTGCAGCCTTACCTGCCTAAAGACTTACACCTAGGTTCCTTGCTGAACTGACACACAGAACAACAAAACCCATAATGTTATCAAAAATGTCTTCTGAAAAGAAGTATCTGTACTGCATATTTGTGAGTATTATGAATGTATTAAGTACAAGAATAGATATTCAAATGTAACTGGCTGGTCAGAGATTTTTTGAAATCTTAGAAGGACATCATGTCCACTTCCTGAGATATCATTTTGTTGTCAATCTTTTTGAGCCAATTGGGCTAAAATCCAATGCTTCCCATTTCAGGGTAACACACCTCTGCATTCTGAGTTCAAGGCAGTCATTTGTTGGTGACAGTCCCACTTTCAGTTTATTTCAACCAACTTTTTAGTATTCTATGCTTTATTTGTGATAATCATGAAAAGTCTGTGTGAACTAAAAATACCAATTCACTGGTGGTAGGAGCATCATAACAAATGTTCCTCACCAAAGATTTACTTTCCTGTATCAAAAAGTTGATATACATTGCTAATTCTTACACATTCAAAAATAGTTACAGAAACAAGCATCTATTTGAAAAGATTGCTATTACAAACTGTTTCTTTTCTATACATTTTTTGAAATCTCATATACCGAGATAAGGCTTTGGTCAGTGCCAGAAATCATTTGAAATAGAAGAAGCAGTATATCAAATTAATGTTGCTATACCATATTTATAATCTTTGTCCTCTAATGTGTTGATAATAAATACAAAACTACATCTATATGGATATTTCTGTCTTTGTTCCAAAGACGCAGTTCTGTTGACTGAAGATGATATTTTGGTTATTTTTAAGAGGACATCTGTCTGTTCTAATAAAATCTGTTTTCTTGTCTTGTCCTCATTAATTTTTATTCTGATCAATATCCAGTGCCTTAAAATAAGTAGTTAGTGCTTCCTAGTCATCAATAAACTTGTACAAAGAAGAAGCAAGAAGCATTCCTAAACAGAAATTAAGAAAATTTTCTCTTCTGTGCTGGTTTATCCACCATGAACATGTCTGTCCCCTCCCAGGTTCTGTATTTAATGCAAATTAATGTCCTATGAGTATTTTTGTCTATACCTGATGATTTCAGGTGCTTCAGAAGGAGAGGATTATGCTTATGATCTTCTTGTAAAACTGCAGCTAGGTGAAAGGATGGTGAAAATAACATGAGAATTCTGGTTAAACTGAAAACTGAATTCACTTTTCTCCTAAAATAACAGAGATTTATTCATTTGTTTGCCAACCAAATCCAAATAGATCGACTAGCTTCAATATTTTGTGAAGTTAAAATATGTTAACTAAGACCAGTTCTGTTGCTGCTCTAAAAAATATTCCTGTTTGGTTCTTGTTCGTTGATGTAGTTGCTAAAATATTCTTTCATACAAACCAATTCTCTAGGTCTCACAGATATCCACATAATCTTTGACAGTGAAAATTCACAAGCTAGAAGTTGCAGGATGGTGGAACATGATTAAAGTACAGGAGTTTTTCAAAACCTTCTCTGACGAACAGATGGCCGAAGCTCCTTCCACTACAATATCTGTTGAGTTCCAGCAACCAGAAAAGCTTTCTGAACTGTGGTACTTGTCCACGCAGTGGATTTATTTTTCCTTTTCACAAAATGTCTCCTCTCCAACCTTGCAAACAGGCTCTATTAATTGATACCATGCAAAAATATGAAGCCAACACAAAAAGTGGATAAATGGCAGGCTGCACTTTATTTAGCTACTCTGTATAGAGGCAGGTGTAGTAAGTATCCAGAGCATAGGTGCTGTGTTCCAACCACATGTGCAATGCTCCAGCACAACCCCGGTGTTTTTGGCTGGACGAACAGAGTCTGGAGCCTTGTAAGAAAACGCATTTAGAAGTAGAGGAGGAGACTTCACTGTATTACAGTCTCAGACCCAATTGCCTAATGTTGAAGATCTGCTAATCGAAAATGCAGTGTTTATTGCAGCATGCTGGCCCTTGATCATAGTCAACCCCCTTCCTTCCTGCGGGTCATTCCCCAAAAGGCCAACCTGTCATTCTGGACAAGTTTTCACACTCATCCAAATCTACCCTTTGGCCTGTTTGTTTGTCCTGAGACGTTCTTTTCTGTATGAAGAAGAAGTTCCACCATTTCCTCTGTGAATCCTGGAAGGAATGGAGCTAAAGGAAAATCAGTGAGGTGGCACAAGATGGCTTCTCGCTGGGCAAGTATTAATTCTGGTAATAATTGAGATCTGCTCCTCCAGGGGCTAAGTTAATTTCTAGATCAGATCCCAGATGTGAAAGCAGTGCAGCTTCCCATTTTCCAAAAGAAAGGTCACCAAAGTTCTGTGACTTTATGATTGTTGGGAAGGCATGATTTTGCCACATGCAAAGTGCTGTTAATCTGTTTCAGCAACATCTGAAAACAAACAGAAATGAAAATGTCTGGTCTACCAGCAGAAGCCACACAACAAAGTATGTTTCCCTCTGAGTAGTGTTAAGATTCCTAAAGGTCCTGCCAAAAATTGCCTACCAGCCCTCCACTGAATGTCTACAGAAGAGGACTGAACTAGGTTTGCCCATTGAGAAGCCATGTCAGGCAAACATCTCTGGCTGTGTATACTAGTAAACTAAACAGACCCAGGACACAGAGGACAATTGTCCTGCAGTTTAATTGTTCCCATGTTTCCTGGCCTGGATTCAGCCTACAAGTAACACTTTCCCAGACAACAGGATGGTCTGGGGGATAGCATAAGCCAGGGATCGGTGCAATAGGCTGGATGGATAAGTCTGTCATGCTTCGGGAGTGAGGAGGACAGTTTAGCTGTATGGATGGAAGCTGTGCCACTTTACCTCAGGGCTGAGGAACTTGTCTAATACAGTTTACCTACCAGTGTCAGTAGAGCCTACTGGTTCCCTACCACAGATTTTTGACTTCCACTTTGAGTAGTGACCTCCCTCTTCCTCATGTACCTTGCCCAGGCCTAGTCTTCTTGCTGGTCACCCTAGAAAGACCTCAGATATTGCCCAGTGTAGAGATTAATACTAAGCAACATCTGAGAAGGACACCTACCATTCCATTCCACCTGTCTGTTCCTCATCCCCTCACATGGATCAAGCAAATGACTGCAGCGAGCTATAATTGGCAGGGTTGGAATAAAATCAAAATAGCTGCCATAGCGGGAAGACATTTCTGTCCCAGAGTACAGATGCATACAATATCTACTTAACTTAATTGTATCTGAGATAGCATACTGAGATCTGAGTCTTATGGCTGGCATAGGGTTGGACCCAAAGATCTCAAAAATTAATCAGAACACATTTGAAGAAAATGCATCAAGCTGTTATGGGCAGCTGTAAAAAGTTTTTTTTCCAAGTGTATGCCAAACAAAGAATATTTGAAAGCTTTTTAGACTTTTTGTGCTGGCTTGACAGCTTTGGCTGACCACCATTGGCAGACAATACAACACAAGTGGTATAACCATTGGTACTGGTATTGGGTTTTTTGCTGCAGAAAAATGTCAAGAACAATTATTCTATGATCAGCAGCATGGCAGTAACACTCGTTCTTTCTCTTGTCAGTTATGGTACTGTCTTTGCATGAAGGATAACGCAACTACTGATGAGCCACCCCACTGCTGGCAAAACATAAGGAAAGCTTTTCTTTTACCTTGGTGTCCATCAAAAGGGTTAATTTGGATGCTTCTCTTTCACCCTCTACCCAGCTGCCATTTTTTCAGAAAACTGGGAATTTTTCATCTTTGAGCCTTCTTTGCTTTCAAATTTGTCTGAAATTCGCAATCAGAATCAGAAGTTATTAAGGTGGAGGAGTGACAGACAAGATAGGTCATATAAGCCTTGCTTTGTTAGGAAACCGAACTAAAAATATCTGTTAGATTTAAAGGTTAAAGTTATTATTGTAAATAATTTTCCTTTAAACTCCTAAACCAGTAATATCCAAAGCAGTGCTTTTAAAAAGAAAATTACAGATAATTATTGCACTTTATTGTATTTTCTTCATTTTTCAGGTCCACCTCTGCCTCCATCATATTTCAGCCACTTTATTAATAGCATAAAGGTAATTATATCCCATTTGTGTTTGAGTTCTGTTAAGCTTTTTTTAAAGTGTTCTTTACTATAAATTAAGCATAAAACAGTATAGCATGGTGAACTATACAAAACAGGTAAAAGCATCAGCAATTACAAATTATATAAATTTCTTAAACTCCAGCTGCATAGACAAGTTTATTACAAGTACAGAGATAGTAGATGTCAGTAGTATATAAAGATTACTTTTGAAAAAACTTTATTACTGAGGCTTTTTATGTTCCTGGTGGTATTAAAGTGAGTCATAATTCACTGTTACCTAACATAAGTTGGTATAAATTATCTGCCATAAATGAATGCTTTTGTTTCCATACCAGCACAGGTAAGAGACATCCATTACCTAAAGGGCTTCTAGACAAATTTAGCAAAAAAAAAAAGAAAAGGAGGGGGGGGGGGGGGGGGGGGGGAGAATCACTTCTGTGTAATACTATTTATCTTTTAAGCACACTGAATAAAATAAGTTAAAGTGATGGAAACTACTTTTCCTGGAATCTCTTACAAGAAAGTATACCCATACCTTGATGTGTTTGGTCTCTCTCTGTTCCATTATTCTCCTGACTGCTTCAAGTATCAAAAATGAATACCAATGCAATATTATTTTAAATGTTTTTAAGTGAAGAAGGCTCTTTTTCAGTAGAAGATCTGGAAAAATTGAATCAAGTTATCATTTAATGATGCCGCCAAAAGCAGTGTACTGTTGGTTTCCTTGAAGGACTCTCAGTGCCATCTGGTTTTCAGGTTTTGTTTCTGCTTGGCTGAGTGCACCTGAGTTATTCCTATGACATAAAGTGCCCCATGCATGCATGGCAGAGCTGGTATGGCTTCTTTGATCTGATAGAGTAGTGTCTGTAGCTTTACAGCTTTAGCTACAAAGAACTCATTTTTCATCTAGTCCTTCATCCCTGCAAAATGGCATGCCATACAGGAAGCTTTATAGTCCTGTTTACTGGGAAACTAAAAAGAAGAAAAGTCAGATGAGGAGCTATACATAGCCATCCCTACTGGCTTTCTGCAGCTACCTGCCATTCTTGCTTTGCCCTTTGCCTCTCCTATTCACAGGTTTATTTCTCAGAAAGGTGAAACAAAGTAGACCAAAAAAAGTTGAAGGAAAAAAAAAAGCAGACAAACAGAAGGAAATATTGTGAGGAGGAACCTACAATTGCTGTGGGTCATTTTGCACAGAGAGATAATGACCTAGTATTTAAATGCTTCTTCTCACCTATCATTCTGTTCCCCAAACTAACTGATAATCAACGATGAAGGACAGGAGAAGAGATGCAGTTCAAAGTGTCTACAATTTTGTGTGGTGTCTCTTCTACTATACTGGTACACACCCCTGCCCTTCTCTCTCATCCTATGCACAGTAATCTTCACTTTGCCACATACTTTTAAATATCTGTCCATTCCATGTCAATCTTGCTTTGCTTTTTCCTTGATGAAGGAAAAAGCAGAAAGCCAGGTTTTTATGCTTCCTCTGATTCTCTCTGTGCCTCCAGCTACAGCACAGCACAAGGTTTTGCTGGGTAGAATAGCAGGAAACAACAATAGAGGCATTTTCTCTGCCTCCACCTAACCCCACCTACCCTAGCCTCCGCCCTGAGAGAGCCTTGCAGCCTCAATAGAGAAAGCATTCCATTTCATTCCATATCACTGAAGAAGGAAGTGATGTCAAAAAGATTTTAAGCAGATGCTTTTCTTTATTGAGCTCAGAGATTTCATGTAACTTTAAAAGATCAGTGCATAGAGTTCTGATCTCACTTCAGCTCAATGGTTTAAAATATAATCTCTTTAAAGGGTGAAAAAGGAGACAACGGGGTCACTGGTGTAAAAGGAGAAAAAGGAGAACCAAATGGAGGTTTTTTCCTGACAGGACCTCCTGGACCGCCTGGAAGACCAGGATTAGTTGTAAGTCACGCAAGTTGTAGAATAGGAATATTTATGGCTACCCATTGTTTTAATTTAGAAGGCACTTAAAAAGAGACAAACATCAAGATGATGCTAAGAACTATATAAAAACTCATATGCTAACCATTAGGTGAATACAAGAGTTGCATTAGGCATAAACACAGACACTTCATTGTTGTGCATAGAATTAATTTGCTGTGAAAAATTGACGTAATGTTATGCTCAGCTATCTAATACAACTACATCAGTATGTAGATTCATGTTATTAATAGCATTACAAATCAGGGCAGTATATATAACTTGTGACACTACTACTTATATCCCCATAAAGGCCAAAATAGGCTATATAAAGTTAGACAGAGGCTGACTTGAAAATTATTTGCCATCTAAATAATTAATCTTACTTTCTATTCCAGTAATCCAAAAACATGAATGAAAAGTCCAGTGTGTACCCCCCTGGATCATTCCTATAAAATTCAGCCACTGTCTAATCTCTACCTAGTTGTTTTATCTTCTGGTAATTGCCACCACTGCTGCTTTGGAATCAAATGCACTAATTATTTGGAAACTAGTTTATCCCTGGGATCTGGCAACAAATGTGTGCATTGCATTACTCTGTTGTCATGTTCTTTGCCAAGGAGCATGAATGGGTGGGTCACCGCTGAGGACGAAGTGTTAGGTTAGCAAGCCCACCTTCAAAAACCCCCCTGGCACTATTCCACGTTGCTGAGAACCATCTCCCTGTTTAGAAACTGTTCCACTGGCAAGAAGGAGTTGGATGGCACAGCTGAGATCCATCAGAGACTGAGCTCTCCTAGTCCAGGGTCCAAAAACTGCTCCATGTATGCAGGCCAGTTTGAGCACAGAGAGCGCAAGCCCTCCTCATTCAGGCTGAGGATGCACTGCTAAACTGGAAACGTAGAAAGTTGGAGCCTTTTTAATCTGGAAGACTGGCAGCTGGAGAGCTTAAGGGATATGAGCTGACATTTGATCACAGGAGGGAGAAGACAACATTCGTCATGAGATATACACCCTGCATAGACACACTTTATGTTAAAGCTTTCCACTATGTACCTTCAGACAAACTCTTATTTATGAGCACACCAAAGCGAGTAGTCTCAGCACGAGCAGAGTTGAGATCCGGGACTTTGAGAGTACTGTCAAAAGTTTTGCAGATATCAGCTACTCAGGAGCAGGTGCGAGAACTTTCACAAAGCTTTCTGAAACTTAAATTCTCGAATTCAGTTTAGTATATGGTCAAATTTTTCATTTCCATTAATATCCATGCCTCCTTGAAGAAAATTACATACAGACTCGTGTCTAAACAGTGGTGTGGTGGCAGGCCTTCAGAAAATGTTGCCACCAGAGATGAAGGGCCTGCAGCAGTGAAACTGATACATTTGAAGAAATACTTTTTATCACTGATAGGGACCAAAAGGGGATTCAGTTGTCGGACCCAGAGGACCTCCGGGGTTACCTGGCCTACCCGGCTTACCAGGTTATGGAAAAATTGGACCTCCTGGCCCACCAGGCCCACCAGGACCCCCTGCAATATATGGCTCAGGTGAGAGGGTGTGATCTTGCTTTTCACTGTATACGCGAGTGCACAGGCATGCGCCCACCCCCCTCCCCAACCCCTCCCACACACTGCCACTCCCAGAGGACCTCCGGGGTTACCTGGCCTACCCGGCTTACCAGGTTATGGAAAAATTGGACCTCCTGGCCCACCAGGCCCACCAGGACCCCCTGCAATATATGGCTCAGGTGAGAGGGTGTGATCTTGCTTTTCACTGTATACGCGAGTGCACAGGCATGCGCCCACCCCCCTCCCCAACCCCTCCCACACACTGCCACTCCTTTATGTACATGTTCTTCCATCTGCCTACCCACTCTGCACACCTGAATCAGTTGCTCCCCTCTCTCCTCCTACCCTCTACTGATTTCTCCTGGGGGGTGAGTTGGAACTGGAAGCACAAAAGGAACAGTTTCTCTGCAAAGAGTTTTCACTGACTAGTGCCATGGGAGTGCTATTGCATGAAAAATCTTACTGTGGCTGTGGCTGGGAGGAAGTCTGCATAACAGAGACAGCCTGCCTTGAGAGCTTCACAAAACCTATCAAATTGAGCAGTTGGCTGAACTTGGGAAGATGTTCATGTGGGCCAAAAAGCTCTTCTTGTGGTGAATGAAGTTAAATCCAGTTGGTGGCCGGTCACAGGTGGTGTTCCCCAGGGCTCAGTATTGGGGCCAGTTCTGTTTAATATCTTTATCAGTGATCTGGACGAGGGGATCGAGTGTACCCTCAGTAAGTTTGCAGATGACACCAAGTTGGGCAGGAGTGTTGATCTGCTCGAGGGTAGGAAGGCTCT